AGGGAAACCCAGTTTCGTTTTTATAAATCGTTTGAGATTTTACGTATATGTTTTATCGATTATCAGAATGAAGACTTTTTTTTGAGAAATTATAAAAATGTATTGTATACTGGGAATTGTATTCGGATAATAATTACGTTTATCATATAGAAAGTTCGTTGTGTAGATTTTTGTCCGTAAATTTTGATATTGGTAAAAAATAAATGACGTTGTTTCATTCAAATTGATTTTCATTTGAAATCATATTATAAATATGAAGAACTTTTGGCATATACAAATGGAGTATAATTTCATTCCTTCTATCGACTTGTGATTTATAAAATTTAAAAAAAAACAAAGATTGAAACAATTTGTTTAAACGTAGATAACAAATGACTCTATTAAAATGAATTATTTCAAATAGAATTAAAAAAAAAAAAGAGGATTAAGGTGTGAGAAATTATTCAGTACGGCCAAATTCATCGTACACAATGTATCGAAAAAAAGCCTTGTTAGATAGTTTTACACGATGTAATATTACACTTTTTATTCGTGTTAGATCGTTGTTTCTATTTATTAATAATTGTTTATCCGATTAATTCATTGATATTGGCTATATATAGTGTTGCTGGAATAAAAGATAGGCATAGTAAAAAAAAAAATAAAATTAAATAAAAAACAAAGTTAAACCAGAAAACACGTGTTATGTGTTCACGTACGTACAACAAACACCATGTTAATTAGCATTATATTATCTCGTTTGGCACAAACTGCTTACAGCCAACAGGCGAATCGAGTTAATTAATAATAGTTAAATCCTCTCCGGAATTATACGGCTTTGCTAATAAGATTAATACTATTATTACTATTATTATTGTTATTACAGGGTGGACTCAAGATCCCTAGATAATTCCCTAAAATTATCCTAGGTTTATATACAAAAATATCTATGAAGGTAGATTGAAAAGTTTTGAGCCTCGAACACGAAAAACTTATATTTTATTTTTAAGTGAAGGTGAATTTAATAAAAAAGAATAAAAAAAAAAAAAAGAAAAAGAAAACAATTGTTTCCACTTTAAGCTACAAACTTTTTATTCATCTCTCTTCTTTTCCGATTTTTTTTACTCGAGTTTATTTTTTTATCAAAGTATAAAACTGTGCAAACTTGACTCTTTGTACATTTGCAAGCTTAATTACAAGTTTAAACGATATTAGAAATAGATTAATTGATTTTTCAAATTACCTTACAACTTTTGACCCACCGAAGTATTGTTGGCCCACCCTGTACTATTTTCATTACTATTATTAATTACTATTGCTGTCAAGTGCACGCTAAATGAAACTAACAAGAACATCGAATTTGATTTTTCTATGCTCGAAACATTTGTTCTGTTCAATGATTAGAATGACATCGAATTCAGCAGTAACATGATTCATGTGCGTTGAAGTAACATGATCGTTATATTAGTACGATATTTGATATTTTGTGTTATATTCTAAGTGAAAAAGTATTTTTTTTTGTTCAGAAATTTGAATGGAATCGATGTTTTGAGTTTGATCAAATTATTTCAATTTGTTTATTTCAAAAAATATTAGAACGTTGCTAAAAAGATTAGTGTTACGAAAAGATTTAGTCAATAGATTTTGTACATGCATGCGTTATATTGATATAAATTAGACATACAAGAGAGTGTCACTTAAAAATCGTATACCGTTACACTTATTAGATTTTTGCTTGAAAAACAAAAATTATTGGTATAATGTGTTTAGAATGAAGACAATTTAGATATAAATACATTAATAATATACTATTATTTCATCATAAGTTAAATTCAAAATTATTCAAATTTAAGCAAATAGAAAAATAATATACAGAAAACGACCGTTGATAAAAATCTTAAGGTGTTGAGATATAACTGAAAAAAACAGTAAAAAGAATTCGATATTTCTGTTCATAATTAACAGTTGTTCGTTCTTTGTTTTACTGTTATTTAAAAACTTTTTAATATCAGAATCAATCTAAATAAGATATAATATACGCGAGTTATAATTAAATAAATTTTAATCGATCGTACATTTAATTTTAATACATTACATATTTATTAATATACTTCGAATATTAAATTAATTTCGATTAAATATTTTATCGGATGAAAAATTTTCAATTCAAAGTCATTATTGGCCAAGAACGTTAAAAAAAAAGTACTTTTAGTAAAAAATAAAAAGTATCTATTATCATTAGAGAACATAAAAGTTGTCCGACACATCAAAAAATAATAGTTAATTAATCGAAAAGAATGTATATTGTATTTTAAAATAACGGAGTATAAATTTTACGTACCTTCTTCGAAATTCATCTTTAGACTGACACAGTGTCCTCTGTGATAGTATTTTCATTTAATGTTGTTTATATGACTTTTCGGATGTTGCGCATGTGTATAACAAGAATAATATTTTTAATAAAGAGAAATTAAGTTTATAACGTTCAGATTTTAGCATTTCCTGCAGTCTAATGTAATTATTTTATCGCTGTTGCACAGTGATGTCTTCGAGGGTACAATTTTCCTGTAAAATAAATAGAATGCATTTGAGTATTAATTTTACCTTTTGACTGCCACGCTGAAATTATATGTTTTGCCCAGGACGCCATGGCATTATTTTTATTATTCAAAGAATATAATGACAAAATAATAATAAATTGTAATTGTTCAATAGGGCACTTTTTATTTTAAAGTATCTTCTATATATCGGTCATATTCAAATACACACACAATTGTAAAAGATCATACGCTCTGGTCACCTATGACTACCGTGGCGTCTCAGGAGAAACTGTGGCCGGTCATATATGACCAACATGGCAGTCAAATTGTTAATTGTTAATTTAATTGAAGGAAAAGTATATTGTTGTTTAAAAGTACGAAATATATGTTCGTAGAACCGTTCTCTTCGAAATTTTCCTTCAGACTGGAATGTTGTCCTTTATTAAAATACTTTTATTCAATGTTGTTTATATGACTTTCCGAATGCTGCGCATGTGTGCAACGGGAACAATATTCTTAATGAAGAGAATTTAAAATTATAAAGTTCTAATTTTAGCATTTCTTTCATTCTAATGTAATTATTTTATCGATCTTGCGCAGTGATGACTTCGAAGGTAAAATTCTCCTGTAATATAATTACATTAGAATGAATATTATACGATAAAATAATTACATTAAAATGAAAGAAATGCTATCTGAACGTTACAATCTTAAATTTTATTGATTAGGAATATTATTATCATTGTACACATGCACAGCGTTTGGAAAGGAATATAAACAACATTTAAAAAAATAACTTTGACAGAAGACAATGACTCGGTGGATTTCTCGTAGAAATTTTGTCCACTCGGTGGTACGGTGGATTTCAAGTAGAACGGTTTATCGATCTGATACTTCGTGTATTTACACAACAATATACATTTCCTTCTATTAATTAACAATTGTTTTATTACTCTAATGCACTCTACCTATATTTAAGATTGTTTTAACGTTTCTGTGCATTAATAACTTCGGGGGGTGAGGCAGATAAAATTTTCATCTAATAAAACATAAGATCAAAATTATTTAATATTCAAAGTACGTTAAGGGGGGATATACCTTTAAAGGCCCGAAAAAAACGCTTTTTTTACGATTTTTTTTTGGAAAACTGGCTTTATATTTTTTACAGAATAATCTTTAGTTCAAAATATACATGTTTGAAGATAATACAGTAATTTTTTTATGTAAAAATATTTAGACACAACCGAGTTATAACCAATCTGCGTGGTGTCCAAAAAAAAAGATGGTTTGCGGTGAGTAAAGAATCTCTTTACTGGATCATCTGAAATAAACAAAATCAATGCAAATACCTTGTATAGATGCGTTTTAACAGATTGAACGATCGACTTTTCCAAAATATTAATTTTTAGCAAAATGGCGCACTTTTGAAAAAAAAAGTTCTGTTTTTTCACCAAAAAAACGCCTATTTATCGGCTTAAAAAAAAATATATTAATTAAAAATAAAAAACCGATCGTTTAATCTGTTCTCTATTATACTTTTAATAACTGATTAAAATTTGAAAGCAATCGGTTAAGCCGTTTGTGAGATTTCTTACTCACCGACTTTGAAAACATAGTTTCGAGAAAAACGCGTTTAAACAGGAGATAAATTAAAGAAAGAATTACATATTATTTCTTTCGTCTACAATATCTCCATAAATAANAAGGTCACATCTTTATGAAATTTTGACAGAATACTTTCGAAATGATATACTTTTAGAAAATGCAATAAAAAAAATCGATTTTTTTTTTTCAAAATGTATATCCCCCCCTTAATAAGTATGTAATGTTTAAACCAATGTATGTATGTTTAAGTAATCATAAGTATCAGTAAAGAACAATACTGTGTTCGAAATATCTTAAATAACTGTTAATAATTCGAAAGTAATGTATATTATTGTCTAAAAGCATATAGTATAAGATCTAAGTACCGTTCTGCTCGAAATCCACCGTTAGACTGGCATTGGTGTCCTCTATAAAAGTACTTTTATTCAATGTTGTTTATATGATTTTCCATATGAGGAAATTCTATTTATTACCAAGATTACTTTTTCTTATGCTTACGTAGTCTTCATAAAGTCATATAAACACATTATTGAATAAAAGAACTTTCATAGAGGACAACGGAATCAGTTTTACCGTGAATTTCGAAGATTACGGTACACCGAATATATATAATCCGTGTATTTTTTTATTTGTTCGTATTTTTGCAATATATTTATCTTTCGATTAATGCATGAATTAGCGGAATGTTGACTAATGAATTTGAGTAGGCGTGGGAGTGGGAAGGTTTTAACTGATCGATCGATTGATTGATGTCTGAGGATTTTGAAGCTCGCAGAGAGTCACAATGAAGTTGGCCCAATTCTGAATTACATCATCAATGCTACTTTGTACCAATGGTAATGTAGTTTAAATGAATAATCTGTGTCTCGATAGCATTGAAATAACAATTCTACATCAATTTCCTTGACATATACACAATTAGTAATGATGATTTCATTCTATGCACAGTTGCATCGTAGCTAAAGGGGTTAACAAATACGCTTTATGTTAGATAAGATTAACTCTGTAACTAATATTTTCTTTAAGCTTCATATTTCGTAATCTTTTTGATTGAGATACTTTTAATGTGATTGAAATCTTCTTCTTCTTCATTTTTTTCTTCTTCTAACCCTTCTTCTAATCCTTCTATTCTTCTTCTTCTACTTCTTCCTGTATTTTCTACATTGTTCAACGTCGTCTATAAAGCAAATTACCATCGCGGACTTATACCAGGCGAGTATATAATTGTACCTACATGTGTCATGAGAATCCTTTAGTAGAATGTTTCATTAAACATTTAGTAAAAAGCACGTAGTATTGTAATTAATTATTATTCTTTATCTCTGTGGCTTTTTTTTCTTATTTGTTAAATAGATTAAAGAAAAAAAAGGGAAAAATTTCTTTTTATTTTCAATAAAAAAAAAAGAAAAAAAATGATGAGTAATAAACAACTCTTTTGGACGAAGTATCACGTTCGAGGGTAAGCACCGATGTCTCTCTTACCTTGATACTTCTTGCCTATTGTTTGAAAAGTGTCTTTTCACAGCTTGCTTCTTGTCAAGAGTGACACTTTAATTCTTCTCGAGATTTTTGTCAAGTTTTTTCCTCATTCTTCTTTTTCTTTTGTTTTTTTCTTCGTTATCGTCGAAATTATGAAAAATAATCTGACCTATCGTGTTTTCTAAATATCGTCTGACTAGACAATTACAATTTATTTCGCAAATAATTTACCAAAGATATTTTTTTTTCTATTTTTTATAAAACATCGTCGCGTTTGCATTTAATTTCATACGAAATTAAAAATAAAATTTTTTCCTAACATATCCATAACGAAACCTCTCAATTAGATTCGATAATATTATATAGAATAAAATACCGATATTTAAAAAAAAAAAAAGGAATATTTGTTTTGTAAAAGTTCAAATCGTTGATCGTTTATGTTAATTCTATTCAACATAATTGAGATCGATAAAAATTTCATTTGAAAGAAATCGCAAAATAAAATTACTATTTCATTTATTTCCTCTTCATCTTCTTCATCTTCTTCTTCTTCTTCTTCTTCTTCTTCTTCTTCTAATTAATCCGCGAAAGAAAAAAAAACAACAAGGTGAAGGTGTGTGTTGCGAAGAAACCTTGGTCAAGGATTTTAGAGGGACACACCGGGATTTGCGTTTCAGCGAAACTCCTCGATCTTTTTTAGGAATACAAAGAGTTCAGAGACGCCGAGAACATAATGCCATTGGCGACCAGCGACTTTCGTAATCCCGTTTGTCAGGAGCTACGATCTCTAAGATCTGCAAGCGGTATTGATCGAATAGGATCAATTTTTGCTATCGAAACGAAGACATCACCGTTGCAAGCACCCGACGTATCGTCTTCTTCTACGTTCGGCAAAGTTTATAACGAGCAAGGAAGTGTCGATAGTTCTGACACTTATGCTAGTTGTCAAACGCATCCGTCGCATTCTCAGGTAGGCCAATAACCTACGAATTATTATTATCTTCTAATCCCTGATCGACCATTTTCTTTCTCGTTGAACGTTTTAAAGGGGGATCTAACGGAAGAGGCGGACAGCAACCTTTACATTAATCCTTTAGAAGCAGCCGACAAGTGTGCTGGTGGTGGAGGTGGTGGTAGTGGTGTTGGTAGTGTTGGTAGTAATAACGTTACTACGACAGGAGTTGGGTGTGGTAGTGTTGGTAGTGTCACTAGTGTTGGAATTGGTGCTGGAAGAGTGAAGAAATCGGTTTCCGGAGAAGTTGGCCGTAATGTCAGCGATGTATCACCCACCGTGGAATCTCTTAAAGATATTCGTCTCTTCAACGAGCCCAGTAAAGTTGCCCTCAACGACTCCATACCTAAACATAGAAAAATTCGTATTCAGCAGGTAAGTTTTTAGAAAATATTTACCATTTTGTTCTTTTTTTTAAATAGCTATCAAGTGAGATTAATTAGACGCTCGAATTAGACGTGTTCTTATTATTATATTTTATTGTTATTGTTATTATTATTATTATTATTATTATTATTATTATTATTGTTATTGTTGGTATATTAGAACAATAGTCAATGAAAATTTTTCGTAGTTGTCAGCGTTAGTATCTTCTAGTAGTAGTAGGCTTCCTCGATGTCAACATCATTCTCATTTCTTTCATTCCCATATTTTATATTATCTTTCTTTTTTCTTTCTCTCTCTCTCTCTCTCACTCTTTTTCTTCCCTAACCTAAAAATAAATTTCACGAATAATATATTATACTTACATACGTATATACAGCTGAGGTTATTGATTTATTACGATGAGACGGTTTTCTTTGGCTCTCTTTCTCTCTAGGTTATTGAATTTGTTTCTCTTTATCTTACTCCTATGGTAATATTTTATATTGATTAAATCAATACGTATGTAGATGTTAATAGTTACATGTAATAAATTAATAATAATCATAGTATCGTTTTTAATCATTGTTTGTAAATAATTTAATCTTAAGAGAAAATCTAATCTGAATTTATTTTTTTTTTAAATAAATAAATAAATAGTATTATACTATTTTGTATTAAATAAAATATGTTTGATCTTGTATAAATTGAAATAAATTATTTGACAATTTTAAAATAACTTTATAATATGTCGTTATCAGTACTTTTGCAAAATGTTTAACATATTATATCTAAATTATTTATAAATATTAAACATATCGTCGCAGTACTTTTTGAATACAATCCAATTCAGTCAAATATCCCCCTACCCCAAGAAAAACAGTACAGAGAGTGAAAGAGAAAGAGAGAGAGATTAAACATTTAACATTTAACATTAAACATTAAAAAGACACAACTGACACGAAGAAGAATACGTACTCTTTTACCAATCACAAAAAATACAAAAAAAATCACTAGGAAAAATTTTCTATTTCCAAAACCAACCCCCCACCCTCAACAATCCATTAAATTTTTTAATCTCGTAAGAAATATGAGAAATAATGAAAAAAAATAAATAAATAAACAGAACAAAGAATCCAGAGACACGCCTATCGTAGAAATCTTTTTTTCCACAAGTTGTTTTGAATCTATTCGAAATTATCTATTTCCGAACATCCCAACCCCGCTCCCAATGGCTAATCAAATATTCTAATCTCGTGAGAAATGTGAGAAAAATTAAAAAAAATGAAATAAAAAGAAAATGGACAACACAGTGTAGTAGCCAATCATAGAAATATTTTTCTCCCTGATTCTTTCAGTTGCGCAAACCATCGAGATCAGAAATGGAATACAGATGAATATCGCCGAAAGCGAATAGAATTTTGTGCGTAAAGTTCTTCTTCCTATCTCGGCTCGCGTGGAAGCGAAGCGCGATATTGAAATCGCGGGAACACGTCGATCCTCAAAGAAAAGAAGTCGAGATACTTGTTTATTTATCGACTCGTCCAGGGACCGTCATTTTGGTCTTGATCGTAGAAACGACATTGGAAATATAAAGATGTCCTCCCTCTCAAAACCAATGAGGAGTAGTGATCTCGGAAAGCGGGTATCGTTTATGTTCATCGCTAAATCAACGCTTTTTTATATAAAAACGCCTACTCTGGTAACAACCCCTTCACAACCATTTCATCATCAACCAACCAACCAAAACAATCCACCAACCGACCAATTGAACCCTGACATTACCCAAATACTATTGGTTATTATACCCAGTTGAACACTTGACCCAACCAACGTCTTCTTCACCAGGACCCCCTAACCCCTACTATTACCATCACCACACTCTTTTCTATATTTTCTGATCGATCTTAACTAATTTAAGTTTAACGAAAAATCGTTGCTTGTCCGTTGCGTGTTTTCACTTGATATTATTGCACGTTTTAATTACGTTTATGTATATATATATATATATATATATGGGTATGTATGTGTTACTGCGTAAGATTGCAATTGGGTAATATCAAGATTCATATGGTTGCTTGGTGTATGTCCGTAATTATAATGTATAAGAATATAATCAAATATTTGGTCTTTCATAGACGTATGTGTTCATAAACAACTTTGTGAATCTTGACATTTTCTAATATCGATCTTTCAAGGTATCATATATTATATACTATACACGTATAAAGCATCGTACACAAGGGGTTGGACAAAAAGAAATGTTTGATATTTTTCGTTGATTTGATAAGGTTGCCTTCGTAGTTATAGAAACCTGAAAAGAAAACATGATAAACGTTTGTTATAAGAGTTTGAAAAGAAAAATAATGAATTTTGTAGAATTATTTCTAAATTTATATGTGTATGTACATGTATACGTGTATATATATATATTTTATATAAATATTAAATATTAATGTATCTGAGCATCGAGCAACACTCTCGAATCGTTTTGTTGCATTCAATTTAAATATCAAATTGTAAACGTTCTTTTTGTTTAAATAAAAAATAAAAAAGTTGGAAAGAGAGAGAAAAATTTCTAAAACAACAAAACGATTCGAAGAGATAGCAAACGCAAAATTTCATGCCATACTTAATCGATTCATGTACATACCTTTTATTTATATATTTTTTTTTTATTTAAAAATACTGCCATCTCCCTCACCCCTATCCCTCTACGTTTCCCGGCTGCTCTAATTTATTCAATTTTTAATTTGATCGTTTGTTTGTCGACATCTTTCTATATTGTCGCAGAAAGAGATTGGCGTTTGAAACATATTAATTGCGTTTTTATTATTTTATTGAAAGAACTCAACAACGGATCTTCGACCTCTTCTTATCTCGATTAAAATTGTTGTTTTTTTTTCTTCTTTTTATTTTAGAAAAAAAAGATATGTATCCAAAGTAAATGTAAAAAAGAAAGAAAAACAAAAGCAAAAAAATGAACAAATATCAGTGTAAATTTTTATTAAAAATTTTTCTCAAACATTTCTTTTATCGGTCCATAAGTAATCAAAATTAAAATAACTTTGTATGATCTTTAATATAAATAATCAACAGCAATAACTAGTACAGTAGAATAACGTATTGTTATTATGTTAATGTGATAATATAACAAAAATATCGTAAAGAATTGAAAAAAATAATTGTCGTTGGATGAAAAAAGAAACATAAATGATGAAAAATGAGAAAAAGAAGAAGAATAAAGAATAAAGAAAGAAAGAAAGAAGAAAATTGTAGAAAAAAAAATAAGAAAAATAATTCACTCTATAGGCGTATGCACGTGTACATATAATAATATGTATAAATTTATAATAATGTTAAATTAGATTTTTGTATTTATATTACATGAAGGAAAGAAATAAAAAAAAGAAAGTAAAAATGATCGCATGAGAGAAAGGCAAATTTTGTAATGTAAATAATAGAGAATATAGAAAAAAGATGTCGTATTAGTTATAATGCGGGGCTGATTGCAGAGCGGCAGACCCCGTGCTCAATTTATCTGCGACCAGGATAATACATCGACTCGAATCACCTTAAAAGAGATGGAAAACAATAACAATCATTATGGAGGACTACGCGGTGGACGACCATTCGCGTTCGGACCGACAAACGGCCTTGCATCCGCAACTCGCATAATCAATCAACATTTCTTCGGATCGATTAGCGGTCCTAGGCATTACAATACAGGTATTATTTGTTTATTTCACAAAAAAAAAAATAAAAGAAAAAAACATATACAGAATGTCCCATATAACTCTTTTTACAACTTTTCAAGTACTCTTGCGATAACCTGACAAAAAGATACTTTAAACAAAAGTTGATCTGTTTTTGATTGACTATACATTGCAATAAAAAAAAGTTTAAAAACCTTTATTTTTTTAAATGGCACTATTCAATGGTCATGATATACTAATTCGTTAAATTCGTATTAATACGGGCTATAAGGTTACTGTAAGGTCAAAAATATAGGGTGCCATTTAAAAAAATAAAGGTAGCCTTAAAAAACATTAAAAAAAAATTTTTTTTTAATTATTTTTTATTATAATGTTTGTAAATTATCAATTAAAAACAGATCAACTTTTGTTTATAGTATTTTTTTGTCACGTTATCGCAAGTATTTGAAAAATCGTGAAAAGAGTTACATGGGACTCTCTGTATTTGCCGGCTTTTGGTTGGGTGCATAACAAATTTTACAGGTATAAAATAACAAGTAACAAATATGTTAGAAGAATTTTGTTCACTAGGTTTAAGTTCGCGTGACGCAGGAATTTATAAACGGATAGAAATTTCTAGAATATTTTCGAAGTGGTCTTAAAACACTAGTTCTCGGTGATTGATGGTGATACATAAAACAGGATTCGATAAAATAACTTCGTCCTTGTTATAGGTCGTAACCTACTTTCTCCTATTTTTATGAACATGCATATATACATATATGCATGCACGCACACACACACACAGACACTTAATATTTATATACTATATTCGCTAGAATGCTAAAATGTTTCTAATAAAATAAAGTGATCGATATGTCGTGTGAACTGGCAAAAAAAAAATAAAAAAATAAAATAAAATGAACTTCTTTTCTTCTTCTCCATCGATTTATATTTTCTTTTATCAATTAAAATTAAAAAAATATAATCAATGGTACGATTTATCATCTATTTTTCAACTTTTTTTTTCTTTTTATTTCCAGGCGCAAACACTGAAAGCAAACTCTCATTGTCAGCGGACTCGATAGACAGTGAAGGTGTACCGTTCATAGAAAAACATCGTATAGCTAAATCGATCTTGAAGAAATCAGAAAGTAGCAACAATTATTACAACAATGTGGGCGACTCCGATACGGAAAAATTAATAACCGATAATACATCAATGGGTAGCATGTGTGATAATGAGACCCGTCCTAAACAACAACAACAACAGCAACAACTGCAACAACAATCACAACAACAACAACAACAACAACAACCGGTTTCACCACTTTTATCGAGACAAGTTCTCGAATCAATTTTTCGAACAAACAACAACGCTGAGAGAGATTTTTCGGGTGATCAAACAGATGGGAAGAATTGTGTTGCTAAAATACCAAGATTGCTCTTTGACGATGTCTTAGAAGGTACCTTTTTATTATATCCTTGAATGAGAAATTTGTATTATAATCATTTTCGTTTTATATATTTCAGAAGAGAAACATGCGCGCGACGAGACAGTGGCGGAAAATAAAAATAAAGAATCAGAAGAACACAAGCAACGTACAAAAGTACACACAGAAGAAGCTTCGAAGGATAGTCAAACGATGTTGATATGTTCGTTAAGACCTTACAAAGTTGTAAGGAAATCGGATGAAAAGAGAAAACCCGTATCGAATAAATCGTCAACTACAAGCAGTAGTCATACTTACAAAAGTTCGGACACGAATTGTCTTCCTCAGGAATATCGTTTCTCATCGTCATAGCGACATTGGTATATTCATTCATTTTCCTACACTTCTTCTCGCGAATTTTATCTACACAAATATATCTATTATTTTTTCAATTAAGATTTAATCCTCTATAATAGCATTTTTATCGGGGGGAAAAAAAATAAGAACAAAAAAATCATTCCTATTATAAAATTTTCTTTTTTACTATACTCGATATATACATATATGTATGTTACACTATACTATTAATATACTATACTAATATCAAAATAATCGTAAGTATAATTATATTATACACGAAGTATACCATAAATGTAATTAATCTAATATTGGTTCTTTGGACTCGTGTATCACGCTGAAGATTCCAATTAAGGTAAATTATTTTAATTCATTTAACTTAATATAAATACAAGTTAACACACGCGACAAGCGATTCCATTTTATGCAATATACTGAAAAGTATAATTATATCGTTAGTAGTAATGTTTTATTGTTTGCTTTTCAACATTACAAACAATACAATATATTAAAATTAAAAAAATAAAGAAATAAATAAAAAAATTTGTTTTTTTTTAATAAAAAAAAAAATAAATAAGTGAATAATATAAAATAAAATAAATTTTCTAAGTTAATTCTTTACACTTGCTATCAATTTTGTTTTTCAATTTTTATTCGCACTTTTGGTTAAATTTCTTTACTTTAAATTTTTCTTCTAGAACAATTGCATAGATTTTGTTTGCTATTTTTAATTAACTAAATTATTTCTCATTGCATGTTAGTATATTTATACTACAACGTAATATTATACTTTTTGGTATAGTATATAGTAAAGTATAATGTAATTGTACTTGGTATGTTATCAGTATAGTATTAAGTCATTAAGTATGAAAGGTCTGATTACTTCAATTATTTTCAATTTGAAAATAAACATTACATATTTAATGATCTTGTATAAAAAAAAAAGATAACTGTATTTAGTATAATAAGATATATTTAATATTAGGAACAAAAAAATAGTATAATACTATAATTTTTTTAATATCAAATTCGTTAAAAAAAAAAATAATTTACAAATCATAAATCGTAGAGGATTAAATTTTCAAATCATTTTGAAAATTTTCTTTTTTTCTATTTCTTCTTCTATTTATTTTTTAATATACGAATATATACAATGATAATTAATTAACAACTAACAAAAAAAAAAAAAAGTCGAGGAATAAGAAAAAAGAATCCTATTTCCACGTTTGTCGAGATATATTACTTCGGAACAAAAAAGAAAGGAAAAGGAATAAGAAAAAACATTCATACTATACAGATCGATGTGAACTTTTCTTTGCAATTTAATCTGAAATCGTGATAAAAAAAGAATAAAAAAAATTTTTCTTCAACGTAAAAGTTTACCTAACATACGGAGAAAAAGATCCATGTAAAAAAAGAAAAGAAAAATGGATTAAATTCAAACAAACAAATAAACAAATACCTGCTGATCGTCGCTGATTCTTCGTTAAAATAATATATAAATATAAATATATATAAAAATATATATTTATAATTATTATATTAAATAGAACAAAAAACGAGTCGCGTATTAATCGTAGAAAAAGCCAAGAATCTTTAAAATAAACTTTTGCAGTAAGAAAGGATTAGATAAGTGGGCGAAGGAGTAGGGAAGAAATGTTGACTTTAACGAAAGCAATCGCAAGTTAAGTAGTGATATAGAATAGTGATTTATTTATTTCTTCGTTATCAAAGACCTACGTTATTTTTAGGAAAGCCTAGCTAGATACGCATATATTCTAGTTTGCAACAGGTTATCTTTTAAAAAGAAAAATAACGGATGGAATTGAAGGACACTTAAACAACATTCGAATAGAAAGTTCTACGCTATCTGTACGAACTAAAAAATATAATTACTTTTTACTGCGTAATACTAAATTAAAAACTAACAATCATAAGGAATGGGAGATATTCATCAATATATATGAAGAAATAAATCAATATGCGTCAGGTATACATATACGTGAACTGTTCTTTAAAAAAAGAAAAAAGGAATAAAAATTATACAAGCATTGATATAAAAAAAAATGAATAAAAATTTTACATTATGGAAGATATATAAAAAGAAAGAAAGAAAGATAGAACAAAAGATGAATGATGAAACTTATTGATTAAAAAATAATAAAGAAATTTGACAAACGTTAAAACAAAAATTATAAATATTTAAATGAAAGAAAAGATAATGATAACGAAATACAATATTGCAGACGTACAAATAAAGTTAAAAATTATATTATCCCAAGCAATATGCTATTTCCAATTTGTTTTTTCTGCTTATTTCATATCTTTTATCATAAAGGAAAAATTGATTAGACGTCATTAATTAATAAAGAAAATGTTTCCGATACGGCCCAATAAACTTTAACATTTCAACAATTAAATAATCATTAATTGTAAGCTAAGTCAAGCTTTGAGTGTCTGAAAATGTGATCTATGCATTCAAACAAATATAATAATAATAATAATAATAACACGGGAAGAAAAAAAGAGAATGCGGGCGAATAAATAAATAATTAAAAAATATCGACACAACCATAAAGACGCTAACAATGCAAAACTCGTGATATAAAAGCTAACTCGAATCTTTAAAAAACAATAATAGAGAGAAAATGAGACAAAAGATATAAATTAAATATAATGATCGTACGTATACAATTGCTATGAATTTAAATTGGCGAATTCTGAGCTATACTGCCTTAAATAAAGTTCCCAAAAAGAAAAGAAAATTGCAGATCCATTTAAAAAATGATTGATCCCTATTTAAACAAAAATAATAATAAGAATTTTCTAAATGATCGCATGATAATATGAATGATATGTATCATAATTAATGTATATAAATGTATCCCAAATGATATTCGTTGAGAGAGGAAAGGTAAGAAATGAAAAAAAGATAAAAAGAGGAAAAATAATCTTATAGAACGTTGATTGACGATGAAATTATTCAAAAAACATTATTTAAACTTTAAACAATGGAAAATAAGTAATTCGACAAGAATATTCTACACGACATAAGATATAATAAATCCCTAAAAAACCTCTCTCCTTTATCTCTTCTATTAAAAGTTTTTCTTTTTTTCAATCTTCCATTCTTTGATTTTCATTTTATTTATTTTTTTCTTTGCGAAGGACCAATCCCTTTCGCGTTATCTTTGCGTTAAAATCTCCATTAATAACCAAACAAATTTCAATGTTACTTCTCTTCTTCTAGTTGTTTCCTTTATTTTTCATTTTTATTTGTTTTTTCAATGAAATGTAAGTTTTCTTGCCATTTTGTTTATCATTAAAATTGCTATAATATTTGTTAGTTTTTTTTTTTTTTTTATTAAAGAAGGTGAGAAAGAAAATATTGAAGAAATGGAATTGATTTTAAATGTAGAAATTAAACGGAAATCTCATTGTCAATTTAATTTTAATAATAAAAGAAAAAGATAAAATAAGAGTCGTTGAAGAAATAAGATAATAAACGAATGGTACAAATGTTTTAAGAAGTTATTAGCGTGAACGAAGAAAAAATCACGGAAAAAATGACAAACGAAAAATAAGAAAAAATAGAAAATCTAATAAAAAATTGAAATAAAATGAAGACAGCGAATAAAATATGGGATAAATAAATGAAGTTCGAATCTATAACAGAGAAAAATAAATAAAGAAAATATTTTGAAATCGATCGATTGATCTATAGATCAATGATCATATAAATCATATAAAGTATTATAGAAAAAATCTAATATACAACTGCCTCGCGATCGATCACACATTTAAAATAAATTAACAAAAATCGATAAATAATGAATATATAAATATAATGAAAGGAAAACTTTGGGACAAATATAAAGAAAAAGAAAAAGAAAAAAAAGCCGATTAATTTTCGCGTTTGCTTTCGTTCAAATTCCCTTTAACCGTCGTCGTCGCATCGTCGTCGTCGTATCAAAATATGAAATCGAATTAACTGTATTATTATTGTTAGAATATGTTAATTAAATTCTTTATCCGATTAACAATTTGAATCGAATAATAAATAAAGCGCTTATAAAAATGCTCGGCTATGATGCGCTGATGAAATTATCGAATGTTTTACGATATTAAGATAAGCAAAAAAAATAAATAATAATAATAATATAAATGAAATAAATCATTTAATTAATTAATTAAGTAATTAATAATATAAAAGTGTACTTCGCGCGTGCTTTAAAATGCTCATCGTCAAAGTTGAAAGAGTATAAATGGAAAAATGTAAAGAAATTAAAAATAAATATATATATATATATATATGTAAAAAGAATAGAATAAGCAAGAAGCATCAAGCAATCAGCAAAAGCAGCAGAAACAGCAGCAGAAGCAGCAGCATAAATAATCATTTGTTAGAACGTACTCGTACAATATCGTAGCGAGATTCGAGATATTATCATCCGTGTATAATCAATTCAGATACTGGTGTTCAATCGTATTTATTTTAAATTATCTCTTTTCGTTACAATAATTTAAACAAAAAAGAAGAAAAGATAAATAATACAAAACATTAAAGAGATATAATCTGATGATTTAAACAAATATGATTTATACACATAATATACAATAACAAAAAAAATAACAATAATTACAAAACAATCGATTTAATCAAGCGGATTTTTTTTAATTAAAAAATTTTATTTTAATAATAAATTATAAAGAACACTACGATGATAACGAGTTGTATCTTATCTTGTTGGCTGTATTTCAATCTTATTGTAAGATGATATCGTGTAAAATGAATATCGAAAGATTATTGACGAAGGAAGGACATATCTGTAAAACATCGTTATTATTAATTGTTATAGTAGATAATATAAGGGAAACGGTGTACAATTGCGAAAAGGAAAACACGAACAAAGAAAAAAAGAGAAAGAAAAAGAAAAAAAAAGAAAAAAAGAAGTAAAGATAAAAATTATGCAAAGATAAAGAGTTAATATATAATCATCCCTTACATGATATATTACATACGAGGGAATCATTGTTATGCTGGTGGTCTAATGTTCGAGCCTCGAGTACTTTATTATAACTTCCTTTGTTAAATTCATCTTTTCAAAATATTCCTACGTATACATGCATACATATATACATATATATATATATATATATATAACGATGCAATTTTGTAACTTTGATTTAAGTTTTAAGTATTACTAATAAAATAGTAAATGACATAGAAAATGACATATTGTTTTGTTTTGAAAATTGGCATTTATATTTGAGAAGGTTTGGCATTAAAACACTGCGCTTGTCTAAAGACAAATTAGGTAGGAATGTATTGTATAAAGGAGTTAGATAATTTGTGAATAGGATTGAGTATTTTTAGAATATGATTTGTTCTAATTTTTAATTGAAATTAGAAAAAAATCAAAGCTCGCATGAGCAGATTAACATTCCTGATGTAAACACCTATTTTTGCCGGGATCACAAACAGCTTCTACCTCCTATACGTATATAAATTTATGTTTATTTATATCAATCAAATATTATATAAAATGATTACAAATTTATATTACAGTTATATAAAATAATAATATTAACATATATATATGTATATACATGCATGGATACGTCTAAAAATAATGTTCACATCGAGTCAACACTGACATCGGAATATACAAGGTTGCTATAATCACGTAAAAAGGAAAGGTGTACGGATATTAAATAATCTCTCCCTAATAATAATGATAATATTAATATATAATAATAAAATTAAATCAATAAAGAATAAATCATCATCCTTTCCTTTTTCGCGAATGATCTCGATCGTTTTCGTACCTGTTATTCAAAGTTAGATCTCATTACCATTTCCCGCTTTAAGATTTTTAATGAAAGAAAAGATAAAAAAAGAAAGAAGAGATTATTAATAATAATAATAATACAAATACAAATACAAATATAGAACAAGAAAAAAATAAATAAATCAGAAAGCGGATCAATGTCTTCACTAAGCTATTCTAGTTAAAAGTAGAAAGTTCCTAGATTATGTACAGTCGGTTACTATTATTATTATTACGATCATTGTTATATTATTTATTGTTTAACTCATTAATGATAATTATTAATATTAGTATAAATAGCGATGGAATAGTACAAAAAAATGCTAAAAGTCATAGACTTGTATCGTGAAAAATGGAAATGAAGAAGTTAACAATTTGTTGATCAGATAGTGAAGAAATACTATTATATTATATATTCAACTTATTCAATTTTATTATTAGAAGGAACGAGAAAATACGGTATTGGAAAAAGTATTATTGATCCGTTCAAATTTGTTCATTCATTTAAAAAGCTACAATATTCTGCCAAGATTTGATTTTATTTTCAATATCAATTCCCTTTTCAATTTAACTTTCTAATTTATTAAGAATTCAAAATAAAACTACATTCGCAAGATATAATACTTGTAAGATATTTCATACACTACCTGATCAAACCAGTTGATCATAGATCATATAAAATGATTATTTTTTTGGTCTTGCAAGGCCTACTCTTCTATAATTGTAAAATTCAATAGTACTGTGAAAAAAAAAAAAATAAAACTGCATCAAAAATTTGAATTCTTATTCATTATACACATATAATCCAAAATAATAACATCATTTAAGAATTTTGCCAAAAAATTCAATTGTTAGGAAATTATTATTTTATAAATCAAGTTGAAATATTGTATGCCAGGGATTTACTTTATTGGAATGTTATTTACTATACAAGAATATAATCACGTATTTTACAGTGTGAAGATCAGAATAAATCGTACAATATCAGAGTATATCGAGTGCAGTTTTTTCTCTTTCTTTTTTTACTTTTTTTCTCTTTATTATTATTATTATTATTATTATTATTATTATTATTATTATTATTATTATTATTATTATTATTATTGTTGATCCGTCATTATTGTGTAAAACGTAGACGTAGATTAACTCGAAGCTGGTGGTGTATTAACAGTTTCGGTTGTGGTACTCGTACTGTCAGATACTATCGGTTTTTCTTGAAGCTCTAACCATGGTAATCGTTTTTGCAACTCGAGCCTATTTATAACAATATATACATATATATTTTTAATTAATTAATATAACCTATCAATACTTTATATGACATTGATAAATTTTTAACTTTTAAATATATTTTATTGTTATTTATTTATTTATATATTTCTTCGCCGTAATTCATTATTTCATTACCTGTATTTAGGATGACTGATTGCATAAACGTATGGATCGATACAAGCAACGCTTTTGCAAAAGCATGCAGGTATCATAGTAACGCCAGGAGTAAGTAACGCTTTATTTCCAAACGCACCGATCATGGCGAGCACCGCATATGGTGTCCATGCGGCAACGAATAGAAAACAGATTGTAATAGCAGCCTAAAAAATCAATCAACAAATAAATTAATATCTTCCAACATAAAATATCTAACAAAATGTTATTAACTTCAATGATATATCAATAATATGAATTTTGTATATGTGTTATATACTTTTGCTATACGAATTTCAGCAGATTGAGCATTCTGATTAGAGTTACTTCTCAAGCTTTCAACGTTCATCTTCTTAGCTTGTTCTCTGAGTGCTTTTTCATGATTAACAACGTGGCTAACAATTTGACTGTAATAATATATAATAAGTGACATTGGTATGCAATAAGAGAATATGAATAAAGTTAAAACAAAATATCTTGTTTCTCCGGTATCGGTTAAATAATCAAAGGTACAGCTCGTAAGAAATCCTTCGGGTACGTAACGACCCCAAACACCCATGGCGGGCATTAAGACCCATGGTAACACATAAACCCAAATCAATCCGATGAAGAGAATCACTTGACCGCGAGATAATTTTCCATCCAATGGTCTAGCTATGGTACTATTTAACAAAATATTAATGTTAGTATACATTACGTTAAATTATTATTATTATTATTATTATTATTTGAATAAATAAATAATTGTATTACATGTTACCTGTATCTGTCATATGCTATAGCGGCGTTGGTTACTGCCGCACCGATGCCGGACAACGAACCGATCGTGGCAAATATCTGACACGCCAAATTACCCAAAGCGAAACCAGTGTAAAACGAATTGTAAATAAAAATTGGCGTCTTCATCATCATGGCAAAGTCGCAAATCGCAAGATTCACCACGAACATGTTCGAGGGAGTCCTCAAAGATTTGGCACTTGAAAAGAACAAATATATTTTGATGAAAACAAATCACTTTTTCTTTTACACTCATTTCCATTAAAAAAAAAAGAAATAAGTTTTTTTATCTGGGACTCAAAACTATTCAACCCATTTTCATATATTCGTCCCGTCACTTCGCTTAAAAAAATACAAAAAAAAAATGGAACGAAAATATGTTACAAATCTAATGATATAAAGATTATTAAAGAACAAAAAAGGAACATAATTAAAAAATAAAAGAAAAGTTTACTTACGCGCAAAATATCCATATGACGAGACCATTTCCAAGCAAGGCAATAAATGTAAATAATATGTATAATAGGGCAAGCATATAATGAAGGGAGGGATTAGGCTCAGGAAAGACCAGCCAATGTTCTGGTACATGGACTAATTCTTCGGCAGGGACGTTCCATCCCAGCAGACGTGGTGGACCTGCTGGTAGAACTCTCGCCTCCCAACGAATACTGTCGTTGAACATGGTGGTCACCGTCTGCCAGTCCCTCACCTTGTTTTAAGATTATTCAAGAAGCGCTCTTATATACCATATCCGTCTTGATTAAATCCATGAAACCTTTAATCGGCAGAATGATGTGGCTTCATTAGAGGATCAGCCGGGGATCATCCCTTTGGTTGCCGTTGGTCAGCAAGACCAAGTCTCAAAGTCAAATCAATCAATTGTTACAACTACAGTATCAATCTTTATTTTCTTCCTCCTTCATAATTTCTTTCTTCGTTGTCAATATTTTATATTATTTTATTTTAATTTAATTTATTTTATTTGTCGATTTCGAATATTACTTTGGTGTAGATTTGTCAAAAAATTTATAAATATAAATATATATATATATATATATATACTTTCGTTTTTTAGCGTAATGACAATTCTTTTGTATTTCATATAAAGATTATATATAATTAGTATATTAATATATTTTAGATTACTTTGTTCATTCTTCATATAATCACGTCGATCATACTCTGTGCGTACGTGCGTGTGTGTTAATTATACTATTTCATAATTTTTTTAAATAAAATACTGAAAAGGTATGCTCCTAATAAGAGATAAAATGATATGAGAAAAGTAAAGGTGATAAATCAAATGAATGAAAATCTTATGGAACTATAATTGAAACTAATAATGGTTGACATCATTCTCTTCCATGTCTTTCAGCAGATACCTCGCTTAAAGTATATGCTGGTAAGTAAGTAGATGGATTTTGAGGATCTTTTAATAAAGGATTTGGTAGTGTTTTTGTTTTGGTACCGATACTTGTGTAACCCTTATCGTATAAAGAACAATACGGCACTTTGTGTTTGCGTATAAATTGCCACACTTGGGAATAAGACCAATCTAATATTGGATTGACTCTCATTAAATTTGGCCATCCTGGATCAGTGAAGCTAAATGCTTCTAATTTTTCTGCTCCAGGATCTCCCTTTCTCATACCCATCAGACTCGCTTTTAAGTACTTTTTATTGCTTAATAGTTTATCTAAAGCCAAACGCAATGGTGGTTTCATTCTAATTAATTCTAAACCATAATAATTAGCTGCTTCTTCTATGAACGTTTCCATCTATAAAATGATACCAATAGTGTTGAAATTATTTATCATATTTACTATAAAAATAAGATTAGATATGTTCATACCTCTGGAAACGGATCTGTTGGTACATATAAACACAATGGCGGTGAAACATTGCGTAACGCGCAAATACAGGCAGTTAAATGTAATACAACAGTGCAATCCTTTCCGCCATTGAAACTTAGAAAAATTTCATTTGCATTATATCTATAAAAAATATATAAAAAATATTTAGATACTTGCGTGATTGTTCGTAATACTTGCAACAATAAACTTACTTATCATAACATTGTTTCAAAACGTCAATCGCATTCTGCACATATTCTTCTTTACTATTATTAATAATCAGCTCTGCTTGTTCTATACTAAATCTTTTACTCCGAACGATGTTCATCGGTATACATGAAATTAATTTTTTCTTCGCTTCTGTAACATCACTTTCAAGTCCTTCAAATGTAATTCTTACGAAAGGATTCGCGATATTTGATTCTCCTTGGGGATAACTTCCTATATTTACTTTACCTTCCCAATGTCGTACTTGTTCGTCCAATATTTTAAGTAACGACAACTCGTCTGACTCAATATCGACATAATCAAAATATAATGGATTGCCTTTACTTAACTTAGGCATAATTGTATCTACTGCAGGCTTAAAATATTTTGGAGAACCGGGAAGAATATAAATATTTGATGTTTTGATCACTGCATAATCCTCTAAAAAAGATTATACGAATTTTACACTTTCCAGTCTGTTACTATTTGACTAATAAATTCACAAAAAGTGATACGTACCAGTTGAATTAACATAGATAAGCTCACAAGGACTCGGTACTATAGATAAACGTTCTAGTTCCGTCTTTCCAGAAAGTAATCGTTTGTAAAAATTCAACAATTCTTGATGTACCTCTAGCTTTAATTCTAATGCTTTTGCAATACCTTCATAGGTGACATCGTCGTGCGTAGGACCAACTCCGCCAGACGTAAATACAATGGAATATTTTTTCGATGCCTCGGATACTTCTTGTGCAATTTCTTCTACCTATTACAAAAACCTAAAAGTAGTCAAATTGCTTATAACGTATGAAAAGCACGTATAAGTTATGAATCGACGATATTATATTAGCAAATAAAAAATAACACTTATAGTGAATGAAATGAAATTTTTTGATTATTTAATGCTCTTTATATGTATATGTGTTTATAAAAAAAAATATAATTTATATAAAATATAAAAAATTCTTTGATACACACTATGTCAGGTACCACAGTTACTTTACAAAGCTTCACTCCTGTAGCTCTTAATTTTCTTGCTAAGTATGATGTATTAGTATCTACGATTTGTCCGCGCAAGATTTCATCGCCAATTACGATCAGCCCTGCCGTATACACGTGCTCCATTCCAATGCAATCTCTAAGCAAATTCAGATAAGAAAAGATATGTTAACGGTAGACTTCGCTTGATTATATTTACTTATGATTTATATCCATAAAAATGACAATCTATCATAGTTCTACATAGTACAGGATTTTTTAGGAAAGAGATAATAAAAAAAAACACACATGTTAAATTATGTACTCATATGCGTATATATTTATTTATTCGTAGAACAAATATAACAAATATATTTTTGATTATTAGTTAGGAGTTAAAAGAATAATAAATTCTCATATTTGCATTTGTTGGACCAAGGCTGTCATCTTATTTGTTTCTACCGGCATTGAACTTTTAATCAATTTTTTTTTCTCTTGCTTCTTTACTTTTCGAATATTACTATTCTTCTTCAGAGCCGTTATGACTACTTCTTGACATAAGTCTTTCAATGTTTTATCAGCGAGCAACTTTTTTTCTTTCGTCTTTTTAGTTGTTTTGGGCGTCGATTTATTTACTTTTGTATCGAACTAATAAGAGAAATATCAACTGTTTATTTATATTTTATTTTTGAACGACTGTGTTCTTATATCAAAAAATGTATTTTCACTTATTAATTATAATATTTCAATAGTATTAACTTACATTTTTTAGTTTTCTTGCCATTCTCTCGGCTTTGAATTTCAATTTGATGCTACGCGTCGTTGGTAATTGGAATACAGTTTTGGTCTTACGGGAGCCTTTGTTGTTTTTCTTTTTCATCGTTGTTCTTTATTCTCTACAAAAATTAAACAGTAATCTCTATTATTTATCATTACAATTAATTATAAGAATCAGTACATTCTTCTAATTTAGGTTTCTTCATTGCTGGCTCCTCGCCTTTAAGTATATTCTTAGTTAATAAAAACGATACACGCATCATTTCTTTCTTCGGAGAAACGTTTCTGACGTTATGTACACGGACCAACGAGTCTTCGTACAACTTGCATCCAAGTTTATCCTCTACTAATAATATAGCGTTATTCCAAGGATTCTGAGCTTTTCGTAATTTGACGAAACAGTAAAGATGTATTGTAGGTGGATTAGAAGCAACTTTTTCTATCTCTTCCGGGCTAAACCAATTTGGAAGTATATCTAAAAATTCGACAGCTGAAGCTGGTAAATTCATAGCTATATGTTCTTTACCAGTCATTTTTTGTTCCCTTCTATTAAGAATATCAGTTTTAACAACGTTTCTTAAAAAATCTCTACCATCTAAATTGAAACATTGAAAGTCACGTTTGATTTTGTTAATATTTGCATTCTTCTGTAACCATTTGTATGATTCAGGATTTAAATCGTTAGCTAATACTCGAACTTTTTTGTGAGCTGCAGGAATAGCAAAAGGTCCAACTCCTGCAAAGACGTCATATAAGACATCGCTTTTTTCCATGTATTTTAATAAATTCATATGTTCCGTAGATAATCGTGGATTCCAATAGACTTGAGCGAAATCAAATTGATACGTTCTGCCATTCTCTTTGACTGTTGTTATGGTATCTTCATCACCAGCCAATACTTCCATAGTAAAATGACGAAATGTTGTGTCTATGTTTTTTGTTTTATTAACAACTGTACGTGCAGTTGGTATCTTGTCGAGGAAAACTTGTCCTATGATATTCTTGTAAGGCAACTGTGTGTCACGCAAATTCAAATGTACTATATGCCCTATTTGACTAAATGACATGGGCGTTTCTACATCCACTGGAAGAATGGATTTTAATACATCCTCCGACTTCCAGTTTTCATATTTTAACGTCAGCTGAGTTTTTTCTGAATATTCGTATTGATCTTTCAATATTTTTCTGTCAGCTTCATCGATATCTTCAAATTTTTTAATGATTTCTGGATTAAGGTAGACAATAATATTAACGTCATCCACATTTTGAATTGGTTTTAAAGAATGTAGCTTAAGAAAATACTTTTTTAATATAGGCATATAATTTGGAAGTTTAACTTTGCACAATTTTAATGAAGGAACCTCAATGATAGTCGTAAATGCATCGCGGTCCAACCATTTCATACCGCGTACCGATACTGGAGGAACCAGCAAAGAAGTCATAGTGGTTTTGTTAAGGCAATGTAACTGGTTTACTATAGCAATGCCTCGTATAGCAACTGTGGGCCTCACCATCTACAGGATAAAACACTGCTTAACAATGTCAAAATTAATTAATTATCACAGAAAAATATTATTTTACTAAATAATATAATACATAACTATGACAAATTTATTAGAAGACAATATAAAAAACAAACAAAAAAACATGAAAGTTACAAACAAAATAAAATTTTACTAGAGTATCTGATCCTGTATATTAAAATATAACCATTTATTCTCTTGTAACTATCATATAGATTTTTATAAAAATCTTTTCAAACAATTTTAAACTTAACTTTAATTGAATCTAATAACCATGCAGGTTATATTTCATAAATAAGAAATAAACCATGTACACAGATATCAACATATAACAATAATTATATAGTATTATTACAATTTTATATTAACCAAAAAAAAGAATTATTTACCTCAATTATTTATTCTCGTAAATATATAAAATAACAATAACGAATTCAATCACGTTACACTGGACGAGAATAATATTAGAAGAGTTGTTACTTTACGCCCTCTAGCAGAGAAAAAGAATTTATCGTCTATCGGTAAGGAAGTTCTCTTCACAAATATACCGTCATCTCTCGGAAAAGAATATCAACTCCAACGCGAATGTAAACTGATTTCGATAAGAATGTACTTTCCCTTTTCTATTATTTTTTTTGTTTTTTTTTTTTCAAGTTGCCGCAATCGTGTGCCATTGCTAGCAGACGACGAGTAATTCTATCAGACGACGCGTCGTTACGCGGGTACTACGTAGTCTTTTTTAAAAATAATACAAATCGGCTTAGACTCATTAAGGTAATAAAAAAGCAATAAAATCAGTAAAATCAGTAAAATCAAGGAAAATGGATGCTGAAGCGTTCCTGGATATGGCCAATCAGGTCATTAAATTAAAAATGTTTCCATACTTCGACATCGCTCATTCTTTACTTTGTGCTTTACACGTCAGAGAGGATTTGGGACCCGGTAAGTCCTAGCCTACCAGACTAAATCTAAATTTAAAGATCTCACCGAGCTTATGCCCCGAGATAGCTTCTACGGTACTCTCTAATCATTTTCACGACAAACTTGATCATCTAACACATTATATCATTATCTTATTATTATTACGAAAATGTATAATAAAATTTCGTTATTTCGAAAATATTCCTTTTAATTATTCTAAACAATTTTTTTTACTTACTTTTACATTATTTTATACGTTGTATTTTTTATTTAATAAAAATATTAATTTTATCTGTGATTTATATTTAATTAAAAAATTTTATTTAATTATCCTTTATTATTATTTTCGTTTTATTATAATAATAATAATTATTATTATTATTTTTATTATTATTATTATTTATTAAAATGTATTGAAATAATAAAAATAAATAATTTAAGGCCAAAATGTATTAGATTAAATCTCATAGCATGACTATAATTAAGTAAAGTGTCCAATTTGTGGAATCTATTTTCAGAATACTGCTATAAAGATAATATTATGTATTTTAATCTAGCATGTTTGTCGTGTGCGAAAGAATCTTATATAATTATGTTAAATATTAGAGAAAATTCCAAATTTTATATTTTTTTAATCAATTTTATGATATTAAATATATTGACGTTATTTATATTTTGTTGAGTGCGTATTTAATATATAATCGATATTTTCCAATTATTTTTTATTTAATTATTTATTTGTAATTTTTTTTTTTAAATTGAATAAAAATAGTCATAAGTGTGGTCGTATTGCTTGAAGATTTGATATAATGTTTTGTTATTTTTTATTAACATTTTTTATAATTATTATTTTTTTTATTAGCAGGTAATATAGTTGTGTGTTGTTTAATAATAACATAAAATATGTGAATTTTTTAAAGTATTATACTTAACGCCACTATGGACAAATTACATAATGTCTATGTTACCCTGAATAATAGAAAATGATTTCTCAATAACTTTCAATCAAGCACGAAGGATGTCATTGTTAACGATATTTCCTTAAAAAAAAATGAAATTCAATTCAATTCAAGGAAGTCACTGTCATATTTTCTTCTTGTGTCTAACAGCTAACGTAATTTAATACAATTTTATGCTTTTTATTTTGCACCTAATTAAGTTTAAGCTTTTAAAAATTAATCCTCAAACTTTAATCTTACAGAAATATTATTATTATTATTATTATTATTATTATTATTATTATTATTATTATTATTATTATTATTATTAATGTTATTGTTGGTATAAAAAAGAGTTCAATTATAATGTATGTTATTATTTTTTGATACGACAGGTGCGCAAGCTTTCTCAAGAAAGCATCCATTATCATGTTGGCTCTCAACGATGCTAGTTGTATTTGCAAGCAGTATGCTTTGCAACGGATTACTAGGCGAACCAATTTTAGCGCCATTAAAAAACACACCGCAAGTTATAGTTGCAACCGTTGTTTGGTTAGTATACATAACATAATATACCTTTATTAAAATATATTCATGATTTATTCTTACTAAATATATATTTTTTCTAGGTATATAGTATTTTATACACCATTTGATATTGGATACAAAGTAGCTAAATTTTTACCGGTGAAAATTGTGTGTTCTGGAATGAAGGAGATATACAGGTACATTTACAATTTTATTAACAAACTTAACAAATGAATAATATTTATTTCCTTCTTGTAGATGTAAAAAAATTTATGATGGAGTAACTCATGCAGGAAAACTCTATCCGAATGCGTACCTCATCATGATACTAATTGGAACGCTTAAAGGTACCGCTTTCTTTCATTAATGATAAATTAAAAGATGTTCAAATAATGATATATATATATACATATCATACATATAGTATATATGTATATATGTATACATAATATACACTAATAATGAATAATATATTTTGTAGGTAATGGTGCTGGATTTACAAAACTTTTTGAACGACTCATACGTGGAGTATGGACACCTACCGCTATGGAATTTATGCAACCTAGCTTGTACGTTTCTATATTTTTGTCAATATAAATGTTATGAAATATATTGAGTATCGTAATGTTAAAAAATTTGATTTATATTTCAGCCCAACTAAAGCATCCATGGTTGCATCAATTATATTTGTATTAGATAAAAAAACAGCTCTTATATCTGCGCCTCATGCACTGGTATACTTTGGCATAGTCATTTTCTTAGTCTATTTCAAGGTAAGATAAGCTTTAGATAACATTCATTTTTTAAAGGAAAAAAAAATAGATAAGTATTGTTATTATTATTATAATTTTTTTTTTTTTTAATTATTATTATTAATATTTTATATAATCTTTTTTACAGCTATCTTCCATTTTACTTGGCATTCATGATCCGTTCGTACCCTTTGAAAATCTATTCTGCGCCCTATTTCTGGGAGGAATTTGGGATTCGCTCGCTAAATTATTTGGCCGAGCTCAAGCAAAAGACGATAAAGCGGACGCTAAGAAAACAAATTAAGTATTTACAAAATATTCAAATATCCTTTCAACTGTTTCTCGTATACAGTTTTTATGGATTATTTCTTGACGCAGATAATCACAATATCTGTAAAAAAAGAAAAAGCAAAATAACGCTTTCGTTAAATGATAATCAAGATTAAGAATAATAATTTGATTGAATTTTAGTCAAATTATATGCATAATTTAAAAAAAAAGACCTTTGACAAATCGTCAAAAAGCTAAAAAGGTATACTAATTCTTAATCGTACGTGTTTTAATGTTAATCAAACCAAAGAGAAACGGCTCGTTTAAAAAAAAAACAGTCTGACGTAAGAACTCGATAGACTGCTAATATTAATTCTTTTTACAAATAGACGAAAAAATATTTTAAATCATCATATTAACTTATTCTTATGTGCAATATTATTGAATATATATATATATATATATATATATATAGTGTCCTGATTTTTAACTTAACTTATTAATTATTTATTTCAATTATTCGACGAATTACGTTCTATATTTTTGTCTTTATTCTTCTTCTTTTTCTTCTACATTTTCGTTCGTCTCAAACTAATGAATATTTTTAAAATAATGATTTGTTACCTGAATTGATATTTCCTATTGTATGTTCTATAATACAAATAGTAGTTTTTGTACTATTCCATATACAAGTGTAAATCTATTTAACTCCTTGCACTATAATAACGCGTAAGACTGGTGATACTTATGAATCTTACGAGCCGAATGTAAGAAGCATTGAATATAGCATTAATTTTGACATGCAGTTTTACGCGTTAAATTATAATGCAAGGGTTTAGGGATGATGCGCTTTTTATCATATACATATAAGTGCAAAAATTAATTTAACATATAGAGTGATTCTTATGAATATGACATATTACATATACATATATATAAAAAAATATATCTTAACAATAACTCTATTAAAGAAAACCAAATACTTCCTAGTATTGCATTCTATACAGAATTAAACGATAAGAGGAATGAGAAAACTTTTATACTACTTTGTTAAAATTTATAAACAAAAAGTATGTCACATCCACGTTAAACACTTAAACCCTTAAACTTCTTAAATACAATATCATGTTTATGAATAAAATAAAATGCTTGCGTATATCGTAACATGTTAATTAAAAATAATAGACAATATGTGTTGTCATTTGTACGATAATTATTATAAATATTATATGTGTATTTTATAGACGTCGTATATATTCTACGTATTTACAATTTGTCGAAGTATATAGAAAACTTTATTTACGAACAAATAATATTTCAACATTTTTAATTTTATGTACGATCATTACAGACATACGAATGACAATTACATTACGATCTATCAAATTAAAAAAAAAATTTTATTTATAGAGCAGTGTATTTTATATATATATATATAAATTTTTTTTCTTCCATATATTCGTGTGTTTAGTCTGATTAAATTTGCACTGTATTTCGCAAACGATCGTACTGATTTTCTTAATTAGACAAAACAATCTTCGCAACGACTTCGAGGTAGAACTTTGTTCCTTTCGACACGAGCATGACAGTCATTTAAATTTAGAATTAAATCTAGTAATATTATTGCAATAACAATCTATAAAGTTACCAATAATGATAATATATTATTGATATGATTTAAATATATCTACCAGTACTATCTATAGTAGTGCCTTAAATGTGTACACGGGGTGACTTAAGATATGTGCGTACAACTTCAGGGCTAGTTCAGTTTGTTGAAATAAGAAAAAAATAATTTTTCTAATCACACGCTCGATACGAACGCTCTTAAAGTTATCTCCACATATTTTAAAACACCCTATATATCCTAATTTATTATTTTACAGTTTTATTATTATAAGTTACCCAAATGGACATATAAATAGTATATATATATATGCATATTAATATAATATTTTAATAAATTAAGTATTATCAAGACATATTATACAATAAGCGAAAATCATACAGATGCAAAAGTGAACATAGGTTTTTAAACAAATTTTATCGTTATTATTAATAGCGCCATAATTTTATGATATACCATATACTATTTAACACCAACAAAAAATCTTTAACCAAATAAAAATAATATTTCTAGGTTAATTCTATAGAATTTTTCTTTTATTTATATATAAACAATAGATCCTGTAATTTATTTATTCGATTAAATCGAAAAACAAAAGAGATTATGATTTAAAAAAAGTCAATTCAATAAATTCGTACAATTTTTAAATTCAAACAATTACGAATATTTCACGCACCTAAAATTGTGACTTCTTATTGGTTAAATAATGGTTAAGTAATTTGCCTGCGTACATACAGATGGCACTAGTTTCGATCTTCTGAATAAACGGTTATTTTTCAAAAAGTCAACGCAACTCATTTACGTTTAAATCTCGAAAGTTTATTAAGATTGATTAATGATTATGAAATATTAAGAATATCACACTTTATTACGTAATCATAATTATCTGCTATAATACATCAGAGAGAAATTTTTTTTTAACACGAAGAAAATAAAAAACGATTATAAAGTAAACGTTCCAATCTCTAAAAAGGAACTTTTAGGAGACTCGGTTGTAAAATCTTATAAAGAATTTTTTTCTCACGGTAAAATGTCGTGAGAAAGTTATTTACTCGACAGGTCATACCTGAGAAAAATGAAAATCTTTGACTTCGTCAGGTTGGGAATCAAGTATTGGTGTTACGTAAATATAACCGTACATAGAAAGAAAACGTAATTATAGAGACTATTATTTGTACGAATGCAAGTACCACTTACTTACCTGCTCTTACATATAATGTGAATTTTTCATGCGTTGACATTTAATATGTCTTATAGAAAACTAATATTATATATATAGATTACATTTATACAGCTATCTAACATTAAAGAAATTTAATTCGACGAAGAAAAAAATAAAAATAAAAATAAGGAAAGAAATATTAAGATAATCTTAAGGATGACTAACAATAAAACAAATAGGATACATGATGACATTCATTTAGCAGAGTATGCTAATACATTCCAATATTAGATATTTTCTTTTTTTGTTGTCTGGTTTCATTTTGACCTTTCTAGTTTCATTCTCCTCCCCGCCCCCTCCCACCTTCTCCTTTCTCTTTCTCTCTCTTATTCTAATTCTGCTCCCGTCTCTCCTTTTCCATCAAGCCGTTTTCTCTTTCCTTTCTCTTTTTCCAATCTCCTATCTTTCTCCCTCTCTAAAACTTTTCGTAACTACTCCCTCCACTTTTAGTGCCTACTCGCAGTAGGACAAGAACGCAGGCAAGTTTAAACCTCTGTCCACTCTCTGTTATCAATCAGAAGAACCATGCAGTGCAACCTGTTCAATCCGAGATGCTTGCTGTTTATCACCGCATTCTTTACGTTTTCCAATGATGTGACCTTGGTATGTATTTAATATAAGATTTCTTTTAATATATGATTTTTTTCATATATCTAAATTTAATATTTAAATTATTATGAATATTATAATTATCCATTGAAAAATGATCTGTATAAATACTTGATTTTATTATGTTCTCTAAAGTAAAGTAGCACATGGCCATATAAAATTCATTGATCCTACTTTGTACGAATTCTCAGGTATCCGGCGATGAATTAAAACCAACACTCGTAAACGTTCATGTTTACTACGAATCACTATGCGGTGATAGTATGAGATGGATAAAGGATCAACTCGTACCCAGTTACCCGTTCTTGAAAAAATATCTTAATATTACTCTCATTCCGTACGGTAAAGCAACGGTAAGCGATAACGAGTAAATATCTTATTTCTAACATTCCTTTGTGATATACTCTAAATAACAAGAAAAAATACTTAATGATTTATATATTCCTTTTTTCATTTCGTTAAAAAAAAATTTGTTGTTTTTAAATATGCTTAATTTTTAAATGTACCCTGAATAATATACAAGAATTTAGATTTTACAACATTTATATATATAATAATGTAAAATTATTTTTCCGTAAATGAAAATAATAATATAATATTATTGATAATTTTCTTATCGCTTTAAAAAGATGAAGGTCATCATCAATTTTACTTTTCGATTGACTTATCTCAAATATAACATTTAGCAATCACGCGATTCTGAAACCGGTTTATGGCATTTTTCGTGCCAACACGGATCTTCCGAATGCCTTGGTAACAAAGCACAAGCCTGTGCTATTCATGCCACAGAAACGAATTATTACGAAGAAAATGAACGACAAGATCAAATAGTTAATTTAATCGGTTGCACTATGAGCGATAAATATCCACCAAGTGCTGTTGAAACTGTAAGTTCAATTTTATTCTTTTCATTTTTATTATTATTATCCTATTTTTATTGTAATTTATTACTTGATTGATCGTATGATAATAATTTTTATTTTATTTCATTAAATATCAAATTACTGTGTCAATCAATTAATTAATTATCATTAATCGGTTTTCCTACAAAATTAACGGATTAATTAGTGTCAATGTTTAATTAATATCTTCAAATAAATAATTGCATGTTATTAATATTTAATAAGTACTGTATGACGTAAATAAAATGTTTTAATTGATAAACTAAAAAATATTTCATTTATTCTATTTTCAGTGCGCAACGAAACAAAATTTGAAGGAAGAAACACGTAAGCTTATATCAGAATGCATTAAAAGTCCTGTAGCAGACAATTTGCTTGCTATTAACGGCGATAAAACGTCGGCTCTCAATCCACCTCTTTCATTCGTTCCAACAATAATAATTAACGGAGTAAGTATAGGAATCATTATGATTTACATTTTTTATCTAAATATCACATAAATGTTTATCCCTATATCGTATGAATCTTTTCAACAGGTTTATTCGAAAGAAAATCAAGATGCCGCGTTGAGCAATTTCTTGCAATTAATTTGCAGCCTCTTATCTGATAACGAAAAACTTTCGACTTGTTCGACGTTTTAAGTTAAAAAACACAAAAATATAAAAAAAAGAGATAAAAAATACTTCTATACAGTTAAGTTTTCGTGTACGATGGAAAGAACAGAAAAAAGATGTAATTAAGGTAAACGAATATCATTGTTGTAATATTTAATATTGTACATGCATACTATTATGTATTTTTATTTTTCGTAAGATATATATATATATATATATATATATATATATATATATATGTATACATACAAGTACATCTATGTACAAAAATATATACGATCTTTTTTCTAATATACAGGATGAAATAAAAAAGTCTTTTTTCCCATTTTTAAAAATTAGCTATTACAACTTTTTTGCTTTAATTATGTTTTCATTAAATATTACATCACAAAAGCTCTTTTTTCCTTGGTTAATTAGTCATTTATTTTGATAACGATTAAAAAGTTATATTAAAATATCAGCTATACTCTAGCCATAATTTATACAGCTGTGCAAAGTACGAACAAATTACTTAGATAAACGATTCTCTGGGGAAAGCGACGTTTATCTCATCTTGTACATATACGACGTAAAATTATATATGTTATTATTACTATTATTATTAATACTATTACTATTGCTACCATCATTAAAAAAATAATAATAATAAAAAGAAAAACAAGAGTCTTTAGTAAATGCGGCACGAGATCGGGTTTTTGCAAATACCCCATGTTTGCTTTTATACAATAACAATAACAATAATAATAATAAAATAAAATGATCTTTTGTTATATATATATCAATATAAAAAAATACAATTATATTAAAAAAATAAAATATGAAACATTAAACGTCGATAAATACGGCATCGTTGAGATTACTCAATTCAAGAAATTCTTTTTCTATGTCAGAACCAAGTTCTTGAAAATCAGGAACGTAGTCGATCGAACCATATCCTGTAAGAAAATAAAATCGTAATATTATAGGTTTAACATTAAACATAAACGATAGAAAAATAATCCCATGAATTCTATGCAAAATCGTATATAAATTTTGAAGCTAAATCGATCGATTGAAACATCGATTTACATTGGGTTTTTTTTTCCTTTTCTTTTCTTTCTTTTTTTTTTGTTGATATACCAAGAAGATAAAGCATCGAATTCTAAAAGTACACGCGTGTGTTACACGTGTCCATTATGTGGACCGTTTTGGCGCGTGCGTGAGCGTACGTTCTTAGGGTTGGACAAAAAAGTGAAGAATATTATTTTAAGACTCGGTGTGGGGTACACAAGTATAAAGCGGCAAACCTCCTCTGAGATTAAATATGAACGACCGAGCAAGCGTGCTGCACCAGTGTTATTGTCATCGTCTTATTGTTAATCGTTGTCTTTGTCGTGTCGTCATCGTCTTACTTAGCCGTTAACGTCATTCCACGTATGTGTTACTTTTTACCAATCAAAAGGAATCACGAGCACGTGCCATAAGTCTTACCATAAACATCCTTACGAATATAATTTTTCTTTTTCTCTCTTCTCTTTTTTTTTTAACAATATGCATATAAATATAATATCAATCAATGGATTTGTATATAATAAAAAACAAATATATCAAAAATCTTACCGCCAGTATTGTTACAATCATTTTGAGCATTATTTATGTCTTCGATGAGAAAACGTTTCATGTATTCTATTGGCACATATTCTTGATGATTGCTATCTAAAGAAACGGAAGGTACTCTTTCACTTTCATACAAATTAGTGTAAAGTAAATCAATTTCATCTTCTCGACAAGATTCCGAACTTTTGAATGATCTGTAATTTGTTGAGGTTGGCGGACTGCTTGTTTGTCGTATTTGATGTAATTTTGCAACGTCAAACGTTGTTGCATCTTTACGATGTTCCGTAATTGCGTTGGATGAATTATTATAATCGATAGATATTTTATTATCCAACGTGGTCGTTGGTAATGTCAATAATGGGGTTGTTGGTTCTGCATGATTTTTTGCATGCTTTCTTAAGCTCGATGGATCCGTGTAACGCTTACCGCATCCACTTACTTGGCAAGCATAAGGTTTCTATAATGAAGTATATTAAATGTAATTATGGTTCCAATTTAAGGTATTTTTTGTTATAGGGTAGAAAGTATAATACCATAATATATGGTGCCCATTACTACAAAAGTACCATAGTGTACATACTATTAAAAAGATACCGTAACACATGCTAATTACACGATGATACACATATATACTTGACTATATGTATATCTTTCTAATTGTAAGATCAATATAAATATCGTACCGTATCGTAATGAGTCCTCTGATGTTTAGCTCGATCGCTACTATTGCTAAAAGCTTTCGAACAACCACGATGCTGACATGCGTAAGGTTTCTCTCCAGTATGCGATCTTTGATGAATTTTCAAATTTTCAAGTCGAGAAAATGCTTTTTTACAACCAGCAAACTGCAATAATAATTTTCTAATAGTAAGTAAACAAGTAATAAATACATTTTAATTAGATTCAATATGATGAAATAATAATGATTACATATAAATAGAGTAAACACATTTATGTTTGTGTGATTAAACTTACAGGGCATTTGTTTGGCTTCTCCCCACTGTGCACTCGCATATGTATGAGTAATTTGTACCTAGCGTTGAATGGTCTAGCACGAGGACAACCTTGCCAAAGACAAGCAAATTCATCTTGACCAGTTGTCGGTGCACTTGTTTGTCCTAAGTATGAATTGTCACCGTCTCTATCTTTTTCTTTGTCTCTGTCCCTCTGTACACGTCGTCCATGACCATGTGCGTTAGAAGAGGATGATTCTACGTGCCGCCTTTCTATATGTCTCACAAGACTTTCTTGTTCCGTAAATGCACTTCCGCAATCTATCCATCGACATTGATAAGTCGATGTGAAATTATTTTCTTCTATCGAAGTTCCACGATCTAATAAATAAATTTATTATTTATAAACTATAATATATGCCATTTGTTAAATAAAATATTAAATATTACAAATGGAATGATCACTTTAAGAAAATAAAAAATGGTGACTAACCGTAGGACGATCTGTCGCTAACTTCGTTCTTCGATATTACGTCAGATCTTGGTACACGTTGATCGGCAAGAAGCAATCCTTCGTTTTGCGGTAAAACCACCTGATTACCAAGATTTTCTTTAATCACATTTTCTTGATTAAAGTTCATCGAGGACAAAGTACTCGATTGCGAAGACACCAAATGACCAACGGCATAACAAAGACCATCAACGTTTTGAAACGGATCTTGTAATTCTTCCAAATAAGTTGAAGCTGAAGATGATGATGAGTCAAAGTTGGCCAGCAAAGAAGTTGGGTCACCTCGGATCAAACTCAAATCAAATTCATTTGTAGCAATTTGCATTGTGTTACCAAGTTCTTGAAACTCTTCGTTATGATGATTATGCGGACTGATCGAGTTAATTAAATTCGTGCTTATTGTCTCTTGATAATCCTGATAATCTTGATAATCGGGATATACGAAAGCTCGTGAAAATGAAAATGCCGTTCCCACCGATGGCAATCTTTGCCTTCCATTAGTTTTGTCTTCATAATAATCACCATTTTTCGTAATCTCGTTGGCCCAATTGTTTACTTCGTTACTACTGTTATTGCTTAATGAGCCCGAACGTTGATCGGAATATTGTATCGCAACAGATAATTCTTCCCAATCATTTTTCTTATTGCAAGAATTAACGGAATTAGATAAAAATGGCGTTGGTGATCCAATATTATTATCCACTTGCGAGGAATGATGATGATGATGATGATGATGATGATTAGTAGTAGTTGCAGTAGCATTAGTAGTACTAGTAGTAGTAGTAGTGGCCCAACAAGATTCTCGTGTGCTTCCAATAACGTTCATCGTAGATCTTATCAAAGGAGACGACGAATCAAGAAGATATTCTTCTTGATCGATCCTGTTTATCGAATAGACACGTTGTTGCCTAGCGTTTTCCCCGTTTTTGTCTTCTACGACGAGATAATCCTGTAGGTGCATATCTGTACGAGACACTTATTTTCTCTTTTTTTTTTTCTTCAAAACGTCACAACGCCAACAACGACAATGCATTCGATTATATCGCGCGCTCGCGCGCGCKCGCAATATGTATATTATATTTCGTAATATTTTTTAATATCTACGGGATTTTGTAATGTACAACTTGTCTCTTGTTGTTATTAGTGTATATACAGTTGTCGTCGAACAGCGAGAACAAAGATTAGAATACACTTACTTGTAAAAATCGCGTTATAAAACACACCACCCGTTTCGTATTTTAATATCACCGCTATTTTGCGCCACAGTCGCGAGTTGACGAGATATGATAAATGGAAATTTTGCTAGCACTAACGTCTTCTCGATTGATTATTCCTTAGTTTTCATCTATTATTTGTATAGCAAAACGTATACTAGCATAAGATATTTTCTATTTATCTATTTACCTCCTATCTATGTATCTCACTCTATTTCTCTCTATCTATCTATCTCTTTCTCTCTCTCTCTCTCTCTCTCTTTTTATCTATCACTATATTTTTCAATAAATAAATGAAACAAAAAGAAACGAACTGATGAAAAAGATGATGCAAATGATTAACTCAAGAAAAAAAAGAAGAAGAAAAAGAAGCAAAAAAAAAAAATAGGGACGATAGCTCGTACAAGCGCGGCAGTCAGTGTTTGACCCTGAATTGATAAGAAGCGATCGTCGTAACGTTTGTAGAGTATTTCTACTCTTTCTCGCGTCTGCAAGAAGACTATCAAGGACTGAACAAGAAGATACTACCGCATTTTTACACCAAACCTAAAGTATCCCCTCTCTTTACTATTCTCTCTTCCTTCGGGATTTCTTCTTCTTCTCCCCCGCTTCTTCTAAAGACGATAAGGAAAGAACCCTCGAGAGGATACAACGACTACCGCAAGAAGAAATCCTAAGCACCGCCTACTCGCGTGGCTGTTGCAGGCTTCTTACGCGGGAATTTGCTAGAACATGCACACACGTTCTATGCACTTGTCCCTTTGAAACCCCTCTCTATTATTTCATATTCATTTTTATAAGTCATTATTTTGATTCTTTTCATTCGCAATATATGTTGACGATGGTACATATTATACCGTAACCCTGTATCCAACTGGCAAGATGCTGAGCAAATCAATTTTTTTTTTTTAAATAGTAATTTAAATAAACAATATCTATGACAAAAAAATAATAATTCAAATTAAAAAAAAACATATTTTATATACAGAAAATTTATAACAGCTGCTGACGTTCTTAAATTTACGTATGGCACTAATTTTTGATGTTTGACATTAAGTCATTTTTTCAATATCTATCCTTCTTTGGCAAATGTAATAAAAAGTAATAATTGTATTTTACGGAAAATACATCTAAGAAACGATCAATGACTTTGTTAAAACGATTGAAATGATCTAACAATGTTTTTCCATATTATTTCCGAGATACCTGTAACCATTCGAAACAGTTACAACTCGATTGTCATTCTATTGTAACCAAGTCAGATTCGAAGTGTGCCTCTTCGAAAAAAATACTTTTAAGAGGTTTTTATCTTAAAATAATATTCTTATATTATTCCTTTTATTATTTCAACAATTTTAGATTAATTATTTATAATTATTAATTACAAATTATTATCGTTCATTCACCGAATTGTATTTTTTTTCTCTCACTATTTTCTTTTACTTTTACTTACTCAAATCAAAAATGGATTTTTCATAAACAACCGATTTATTTTCTACATTTTATTTAATATTATAAACTAATTATTTTTTAATTATATGTATTTCTTTCACACAAAATATTACACTTGAATTCTCATCATCGTTGATGGTAAAAAACAATCGGTCTATGTTTAAACGGTTTATTACTTGTCAACAAGTTTATTAATGTTCATTTAATTCACATTTTATATAAAACATTTGTATAAGTCTCATCAAATATGAAATAATTTTGTTTATGGAATTACATACTTACACAAATACACTCGGGGGAACATACATGAAAAACGAAAGATAAGAAGTGTCAACGATCTAAAAGAATTTTGAATAAAGAGGAGACTTAATAGTTCACATACATGGGTAGACTAGATGACTAGATGTGCGGTGGATGAACTAATTTCGAGAAAATAGAGAAGTCTAAGAAAAACAGAAAGAGAAAGTAAGGGAGGGAGAGAGGGAGGGATGAAAAAGGGGTGCTCAGGATGATCTTTCGTCGCTCGAGCCCCAAGAATCGGGTGGAGAACAAAAAAATGTCAAACCAGCTGCCGCACACGCGTCGCTTATTAACAACAGCTTCTTCGCGCGCGCACATGAGGATATGTCGTTCACTCTTCTCGCTTATGTTACTGCCTACTATTATTTCATGGGCATTATTCCCCTTCCACCCCTTTCTCTTTATCTTTCTACATATTTTTTTACAATGATTTTTATATAAATAATGAATAACCAATGAATATTAAAGTATTTAGAAAAATGTTTGATTATTTTCTAAAAAATCTATTGCTATTAAAAATTATTGTAGATAGAAAGTATTTATAACATATAATTGTATAGTGTTTTATAAAGGATTGTATAGATAATATATGTAGCCTATAATTTGTATGTATTATATGTTATAAATATTTAATATATATACTACATATGCATATAGTATATATATACTATTATACGTACCATTTTATTTATGCAAGTAGATTATAAATAAAAAAATCAATTTTGAAAAAACTTTTTACTTAGAGTCCACTGTTATAATTATTGGCACGTATACAACAATATAATAAAAGAAGATTTTTTTAAAGCATTATAATCTTTCTTATATATATATGTATTATATGTATATGTAATCGTAAAACATTAAATCGATCATCGTCCCCATATATAAGGACATTCCCTGCACCCAAGCATACATCTTAGAGTTGCATCTTACAGTTGCTTATACGTCATATTACGGGTAGATAAGTGATAGAGTAGCACATATGGTGTGCCAGCCCTCTATGCTTACATTATATACATACACTATGCTCTCTCTTTCTCTCTCTCTTTCTCTCTTGGCCGTACTTTTTTGTCAAGGCACCTGTCAACCTCGTCCAGAGTATAGTCACCGCATGTGTGTACGGTCCCTTCTTAAGTAAACATACTAAAAAAAAAAGGATTCTGATCTTGCAACGCATACGGACGCAATAACTTAGGAAATGCATTGAAAAAGAAATAAAAAGCAAAACAGAAAAGAGCTGAAAAAAAAATAAAAAGAAAATCAAATAAAATACAACACACACGCGCGCGCATACACGTGCACACACACACAATTATTTGTTTTGCAAAAGGGTATTATAATTATGAAATATAGAACAAATTTGTTTGAAAAATATATTTGCATGTATGTAAAATTTGTTATGTTATATTAAAGTGTATAGAATTTATTTATTGTATTATTATTTTAAATTAAATTACAAAACAAAATATTACTTATTATTCGTATTGATCGTGATTGTATCATTGCATAGGAATATTATATACATCCATAAATCGGATGACATATAATACGTATTGAAAATAGCTAGGGATACATAACATTCTGTTGGGGTATATAGTATTCGGTCAAGCAACGTAAAAATAGAAGACGTGCGCTCAGCGTGTGACTTCGTATAATTAGGTACCAAACTCGAGAACTTGTATGTCCTATACGTTACTCGTGTAGCAGCATGTCGGAGACCCTAACATTGGATCGCGTTTTCTTGTTTCTTTTTTTCTCTCTCTCTTTTCATTTTTTTTTCTAAGAAGATTTTTTCAGTTTCTTCTTTTTTTTATTTCTCCGACATTAATGACGAGTCAAAGACCGATAGAAAAATGATGTAATTTTTACTTTATACTTTTCCATCGTAACTATGGACGATAGGAAAGTGTTGTATACGTCCGCTATTCCAGGCAATAGTTAAACAAACTGTTGAATTTTCGGTAAGACATTTTTGATAAAAATTCATACAATTTGGCAATTCCCCGGGTAAACCTTTAATAAAAGTAAATGGTTTTACTTCGATCGCTTTGCCCAAATTACATATTTTCGTTTTTATCAAAGCAATCAATGGACTGTTCTGTAAATAAAATTTAAGAAAAAAATAATTGATTATTTTCATCAGCGATATTCTCTTTGTTAACCCCTTGCACTATTTTTACGAGTCTGACTCGTAATGAAAATTTTAGGTCAAACTTGAATATCACGAGTCAGGCTCGTTGTTCAATTTCATGTCAAACGCGAATATCATGAGTCGTATTCGTGCTCTTAATTTCGAGCAAAGTATGAATGCTGAATGAAATCTTATTTCTTTCCTTTTCTTCTTTATATGTATGGGTATTTTATATCTTGTTTCTCAATGCAATTTACGTGCTACTTAGAATACATTGTTGTGTAATCCAGATAACATTTGAAAACTAAAGTTTCGACAATCGGGTTCCACCGCTTCGTCTTTTTTTCGCAACCATTCAGCTGCATGGGTTAGGCACAGCTTGTTCTGAATTTCAGCGTAGTGCAAGAGGTTAATATAGGATTTTACTTGAATATTTACCTGAAATAGAACAGCAAGATATCGACCCATAGAATCCCATTCCATTGCTATTATTTTACCGCCAACTCTAACGGAAGATTCATTTTTATTAGTAAAAGTGACTTCGGCTAAATTGATTATAGGGATTGCTACAGTAATATCATCCACCGACGATTTAGTATCAAAAATATTTCCTTCAAGTGGTAATGAATAAATAACAGGATCGTCACTTGATGCAAATATCAATGCTAAGTTTGGCCCAAAACAAGCAACAGCTATGCGTCCGGACGGTACGGTCCATCTTTCTGTGTACCATGGCTTTGGTGTATCAGTATGCCAAACTCTAAATAGAAATAAATCAATAATTCAAACTGATTCATTATAAAACATATAATTAATTAATTATTGATAATACTACTTACCTAAAAATGTTTTTACATGTAGCTGAAAATAAACGACTTCCACAAAGAGACCAGCGTACAAGACATAATCCACCGCCAGCTACTCGTTTTATTGGCACACTTTCTTCTTTAGAAACATCCCATACAATCATATTGTGATCATTCGGTGAAATAGATACCAATAGATCACCCTTAAATAAATGAATATAATGAAATTATCTAATATTATAATAGATCTACTTTTTTTAAATAGAAAATTTAAAACATTTTATATTAACACCTGTGGATGCCAGGCTATACTGTTAACAGGAGTATGATTTCTTCGCTTCAATAACATAGCATAACTAAGCATATTGCTAGCAGCACCCAGTTCAATTGTCCAAACTAAAACACCTTGGTGACATGCTGCGGCTAATACTCTTCCAGCATTAGGACACCAACTTAACTGATAAATGTACTTCTGAGCACTATGTCGCAAAACTGGTATCACAGATGTGTTTTCTGAATATATACGTATTCTATCATCTCTAGTTGCAACTGCTAAGCGAGTACAATGCGGATGCCATGATATGCAACGCACCTAAAAACAAGTAAAAATATCAATATATGTCTTTTTCTATTTTATAATAATAGTATAGTTATTCCAATAGAGTCTTACAATAGAGTTATTCCAATCACGCGTAGGAACTACATCAGTAACTGATCCTGATCCAGTAGCTAATAAGGCTTCCGTTTGAAAAATACCTTTTTCTACAGTGTCTAAAGCCCATGTGAGACTATTAAATCAAAATATTCAAATCATTAAGATATGTTTATTTCTATCGATATTAATTCAATAACATTAAAAATACATTTACATCCATACTTTACAGCTATCCAATGTATTACGTTTGTTACATTATCCGAATCCTCAGATGCAGCATAACGTAAAGCTTCTGTAAATCCTTTTTCTCTCCACATGTTTATAAGCTTTTTAAAGATGCTGTCTTGAACTGGTTGAAATAAGAAACCACTGTTCATAGTACGAATAGATTCACATGTACCAAGCATATCACTGGTAATAGTAACTACTGGATACTTGTGTAGATGTTCGTAAAGAGGATGCATTTCATTGTGCATCTCTAAATGATTGTTGTATATAACATCATCAGATTTAATACCAGCAGTGGCCAGTTGCATAAATGATGGTGATGGAAAATCATCCAAAGACAATATCTTAATCATTTTTAAAAATCCTTGTCGCTATGCGACAGAGTTTAATACTATAACCTATAAATTATAAAACAAAATTAAATTCTAAACAACTTCTTAGAATTGTTATAATATAATAAGTTATAATGTAATTTACAAAATATAATATAAGTTAAGGTTAACTTACTTGTTCTTCTCGTCAATTTGATTGATGACAAATCTGCAAAAAATAAAAACAATTAATATAAATAATAATATATGATAATTAGAGTATATAAATTTACGATAAAAAGAAATAAAAATTTTTGTCAAATAATTTCATGATTATTTTGCATAAAATAATTATAATGAATATTTACATACCTTTAAAGGTAGATTATTTGAAAGGCGTTTATTAACTCTTTCGTTACGGCATGTTTAAGTGTATATATTACCGACTCTCTCTCTTTTTCCTACTCTAACAAGAAATGAATTTATTCAAAACATAAGGGCTAATCGATAAAATAGGGAGGATTCTACTAAGGATTTGCAGAGAGAACAGATTTTGACTATTATCGACTGTGCACTTAAACGGATTTTCTCATTACCGACACGGTGCAAAAACTTAATTTTCGTCAGATTAAGGAACAAATATAATAAAAGAGTTATTTAAAATGTTTACAAAGATTTAATGCACACACACTAACGGAGATCAAAATTAATAAATTGATAAATTTTAAGAACGGAGATATTATTGTCAAAAAATCATGGACCGACATGAACTTCAAAGAAGTTTTACAGCATTTAAACCATTTTGTGATCCATTAGTCAAAAATCCGACTATTAAATGTTCGTCGGAGGTTATCGATTGTATCAAAACAATCTCAGATGATGCTGTTGAAGATTTTTAAGTTATTATTTTACAAATGTCATTGAAGAATTATATACTCGACAATATGCACTCAAGCTTGCTCATAGTATATATCTATGCGTATTAATTGTTAAATAAAAAAATATTTTATGATACAAATTAATAGCTATAGAAACAACAGATTTGTGCTATTTAGGTAATTTTTCCAACGAGTCTGATATCGCTTGGTATATTAAATATCAAATACAGTAATGTTATTGTTGCTAGGTATCGCTAATGGACTGCATTTCTTATAATATTGTTGCATAAACTTGTATAAAAAAAATCACTTATTATAAATAGCAACATTGTTTTGACGAAGCGTCTTAGTATTTCTACAAAAGTACAAATTCCAACCGACAGAACACTCAATTTGAATTTCTTAAAAGTAGCGTAAATATGTATTTCACTAAATTATATATTTTTGTACATTTCTTTATTTTTGTTCAATATATGAATTTTATACATTGTTATTTTACATTCTTTCAAAGTATAGAAAATGCATTGCCACATAAATATCTACAAAATGTGAGAACAATAATTACATATATTAAATAAAAGATTTTAGTCAAACGTAAATAGAGATAATGAAAAATTGTTAAAAAGATGAGAGTATCAAATAAATACGTCTATACTTGACAATTTGCACGGGAAATTTGCACAACGAAGAATATTATCTTTCCATAATGTATAAAAACCTTCTAGAATCATTTAAGTGTTAATTTACATTTTCTCATCATAAATAACTATTACATACGTACAGAATTCACCCTGCTATCATTACTGCGGAGTGTGGTAATTAGTGGAATGTGCTCAAACAGAAATGAAATAATAATTATGGTTAACAAAAGCAATGAGAATGTTAAATACTTGATGGTATAATAAATAAGATATTCGTTCTAAAGGTACAAGAGTATATGTATGCATAAATATAAAGTTATTTTTAAACAAACAAACAAAAAACAACAACAATATAATCTTAAGCATGCGAGTTGTTTAAGATAATCTTTTACGGTCGTCTTAAAATACATTAAATTGCATATTATTGAATAGATTAAAAATGTTTAAAAGAAAATTATCTAATCTGCGCGTCTTGTACCAGTAAAGACATAAATTTCTATAGCATCGGTAATAAAAATTTCGGGATGGATAACAAAGCTAATTCATTTACTTTGTATTATAGTTAACTATTTATAAAACAGTTGTTATTTTTACAAATCATTAGCAAAAACTTTGCTTATAGCAATAAAATACTCAACAAAGTTACGCGTTAATTTTCTATTAAAATTGGTGCTCTATCATTTCCATGCCTGCTTCTGAGCCTTCTGCGATGCTAATTTCTTCGTTACGTACGACGAAATTAATAATGCTGCTAATACTATTACAATAAGATAATAGTCAAAGTCTTCTTTTAACACATCGAACGTCTTAGACGGTGCCACTCGTGTGTAGAATATATCTGTTAAAAATGTAACATTAAATGAATATCTTATTTAAAAAAGTATGCATCTCTCTCTCTCTCTCTCTCTCTCTCTCTGTAACTTACCCAATCCATATACAAAAACTAAACAGGTACTCTCAAGACCACTAGGACTAGTATGAATACCTAATACTCTAAATATACTCTGATTATAATTTATAATAGTATCCATATGAATAGGTATTTCAGGCATATATGGTATAACACCTTCTTCGCGCATTTCAGGATTAATGGGTCGTCTTGGATCTACCATCATCCATGGTAACTCTATAATTCCACCATTTGCTAGGGAAACTGTTAAAAGTGATTAGAATTTATAGATAGATGAGGGATATTACATTTCTTCTATGTCAAGTTATTATATCATGTTCTAATAAATAACATACCTATTATATGTTTACTGGTAATACCTTTCTCCGTAATAGTTTCTTTCATATATTCTATTGATGCTGGGAAAATGAATGCTTGTCTTTCTACAATTGGTGATTTGGTTGTAGCCAAGGAAGAGAATACTGTAAAATAATAATATTAATATAATATGTTACAAATGAATACATATTTGTTACTTGGTTTACCTGTCACATTACTCTGTATTTTTCCTTCATAAAGTTCCAACGTTGCAATTTCAGTTCTTCTACTCTTTTCATTAAAATAACTATAGACCAACCAATTCTCAGAATGTACTACATGAAACGGCCCACGAACTCTTTTATGTACGATGGAAAATATCATGGCACCCGATACTACATCCAATAAATAAATGTTGAGGGTATCTAAATGATGAAAAAAAAAACAAACTAAGTAATATTTTGTATACTTTTGAGTTAATCGATTCGTTACCTGAGTAATACATAATATGAAAAAAGAATTTTTCAAAAATAAAAAGTATTATTATATTTTGTTAATATATTTACTTTTGTGAGTATTTCCAACGCCTTCCGATACAACTGCTACTAAATTAGGATTAATGTATTTATACAGGACAGATCTATCACTTAAAACTCGACCTTGAGAGTGAACACGTTCGATTGGACTTTTGGAAACAACTTGTACTATTTTTTGATTTTTTGGAGAGAGTAATAATTCCCAAACTTTATGAGCTACTAACTCCTAAAAAAAGGATTCAAAGTTATTATTTGTTAATTCTTTAGTTATCCATTAAATAATTCATTAATTCAAGACCTGAGATGTACTGTAAGAAAGAGAAAATCCAGATAACAAGCCAGTAGTTTGATCCGCTGTAAATATATAAGTATTCTTTCCTAGAGAAGCTGCGATAGCCGTCGCACTTTTGGGATACACGTGAATCTTATCTCGTGCATCAAGTATAAGAACTGCTCTTAGAAAATCATCTGTCGTCACATGAAGCAACATAGATTGTTTTATTCTGTATCCTAATTTTATCAAACCGTCTAAAGGCTGTCCAGTAATTGGATTAAATGTATATATAACACCTTCTCCGGATACCTAAGATGCAATGAAATTCTAATTATTAATGGAAATTAATCAAAATAATATTGATTTTTGAAAATGCAAATAATACGATACTTTATCTTCCGCTAGTAACGCGCACTGAGGTGGATAGGGAAAGTGCCTACTTCCTCGTTGTACGTATAAAACCATTGCATTTGATATTTTGTTAAATCCACGAATATTGGGTATTTTAAGTTGCCAAATAATTTCACCTTTTCTAGTTTCAATACCAAAGATCTGTAAAGAAAATGTATATATAAATACATACTTTGTGCGGTAATATCGTAAAATTATATATAGAAATGATAATCTATTGTATTTTTGTCTATACCTTTCCAGCGGATGTGACAGCAACAATCATTTTATGCAGACTGAATTTATCTCGTACCAAGTCGGTTCTCTGATTAGATTGTTGTGGGACCAAGTCTAACATGGATTGTATAAAAGCTTTTGCTTGATTAAATTGAGAAACAGTTCTTCTTAACATCATACTCAATACATCCCCTAGATATATATATATATAAACAAAAACGAATTATTAGAGATAAATTAAACATAAAACAAAATATGTTATTAGTATAATTTATCACGATTGCTTTATAATATCATTATTTGAATTATATTATAAGAGAAATGAGCATACAGCAGGTATCTTAAAAATTACAATTTATCTGTATTAGGCATAATCAAAATTAATAGATCTATAATAAGCAGTCTCAGTTTTTTAATTATCATGCATTAAATTTGGTAAACTATATTTGCTAAAAGAAAATAAATTTTTATAATACAGTGCATAAAATGATCATAAACTTGTCCTTTAAAGCATTCATAAAGTAACACATTTACATTTCGGCAGGTTAATGTTATTATAATACTTCTACTGTAGGTATATACTGCTGAATCATGCAAATATAAATTTTGTAGATAGCAGTAAGAAAAATGTTTATCAAATTAGTTTTTCCTGCTCTACTACTTACATGAAATGTCTACATCAATACCTGCCAGCAGCCATTCACAAAAGAAAAATTAATTAATATAACTTAAGAAATATGTTATTTATCATAAATTAATTGCCACTAAATAGTATCAATTAATCACGACAGTTATAAACAGTTGCAATAGCAAGCTTTTCTGTAGAACTTTCTAAAAAGTAATAACAGTATAAAAAATCCCAAAAGTAGATGTATCATAAGCATTATCAATCCATCATCAGTATATACATTTAAACGGCGTTAATACTGATACTTTTCCAACTCGATACAACAGGCACAAAAATAAATAAACTTTAAATTAAAAAAAAAAAAAAATACCATCATTTATTGAGAACACCTGTTGCGTCTTATACCGTATAATATATTTATATTTTTATTACTTTTCTTCTGTAATATTATTGACAGAAAGGACACGCATATGCAAACAAAGTGCAATTGCGCTTTGTGACTTAAACTTGAATATTTGTTATATTTATAAGACAAAATTATACATACTTTCTTTCTGATCAAATTCTGTTTCGATGGCTTGATCCCTGTCCGACATAGGTAATTCTATAATTTCAACTGCTACAATTTTGGCAAGGGCCTCTTCCCTTGCCCATACTAATTTGTTATGCTGCAATAATGCAATAGTATGATCTTGCGAAGACAACAAATGACGACATGTTAATCCTTTTGTTTGATGCATACAAATTGATGCCACTATTACAGGTGATAACAAGGAAACGTGGGAAAGAGTTCCTGTTATATTTGGTAGAGAATCAAATGTCAGCAGATCTGTTGCTACAACTTCTGTAATCTGAATTATAGACATATTGATTATAAAAACGAATAAGATCGAATATTTGAATATAAAAAATATAATAAATCAATTTTAACCTACTTCATTTCTATAAGTTGTTTCTAACAATATTTTTTTGTTATCTATAGAGGTAATATATAGATTTGCATCACCCGGGATGTCTTTTTGAATCGTAATTGTAGTTTCTCCAACAACAAGAATTCGTTTTCTTTGATTGTTATCTGCGCTGATAGATACTACAGATTCATCCCCGAGTACAGACTCCAATTGGTATGGTCCTTGAGATCCAGCACCAAATATACTATTTATAGTAACCATTTGAGGTTCTACATTTGTATCAAATAAATGTACTAAAAATAGCATGCCTAAAGAATTGTCCCCCTTTAAGCAAGCTAAATATGGAGCAACCAAAACACATCTATATAAACACACAAAATAATACGATTTTTGTATACGAATATAATAAATATAATAATATATATATATACGAGTATGTAATACAAATCTCTTACTCTGTTTCAGGAGTTATAAATGGAGCTGACACTTTCCTCGACTTTAATTTTTCACCAGTTTTACTATCGTACGATGTTACCTCAACTCCGCTATTGTAGATAGGTAAAATATGGTGTAATGTTCCATCCTTGATATGCCACTTTACTTCTTCTATTCTATGTCACAAAATATTTATTCCTTTTATAATACATGAAAAAAAGCCTATTTTATATAATATGACATAAATATTGAACATTTCATCATTCTATAATATATTTCCTAGCAAAAATAAGATTATCAATAAAAGTAATATCAATTTTATATTCAAGTTATATGTATAATATATTTGTAGGTTGAATGTGTAGCAAAATAGTACATCAATAATAATTGTGCACTGAATAAAGGCAAAAACCTGTTAGCAGTATACAATCCCAATGTAGAAAAGGATCTAAATGTAGAATCATGTCTGAAAAATGAATTAAAAAAAAAATGAATGATAAATCAATTCTCTATGATCCACAGAAGATATCCATTTCGTACACCAAATGAAATAGTAAGAAATTTATGTTAAAAAAGCTTACATTTGCATTACAAAAGGGTAGTCTGATAATTGTTTAAGACTAACCTGTCAGAATTTTGTTCGGCAATTGGCCATTCGTTAAGTATATGGCCCGTAGTTAGATCCCATGCACGAACAATGGCTGGAACTCCACCGCTTACAGATATTAGGTCCCCATCCGCAACACCTCCTAATGTACGAATACGACCAGCATATCCTTTCTCTAATACCTTTCTCCATAATATTTGACCTGATACATAATTCACAATATTTTAATATTATTATCTTTGTTTTATTTACTTAATAAATGAGAAGATTATTCAATACATAAGGTCAAACTTTGTTTACAATTTTTACATTATTACGGTTTTTCTAAGTATAACAATACACAATATATAATATATAGATATATTATTAAAGTAATTATATTTCATACCTGTTTTTAGATTTAATGCGGCAATAACATTTTCTTCTGTAGCAACAATAATCTTTTTAGCGGTTGAAATCGTATCGAAACTGGCAAATTTGATTTTTCCAACGTAATTTTGTTTCCTGTAATAGAAAGTATAACAAAATATTAACATATATAAAATGAATGATGATTTGTATATTTTCTTTGAAGCATATCTCTGTATTATTTAAAATGCTAATTTCGATGGTCAGTACATTAGAATAAAAACCTAATTTACCAATCGAATTTTCCCACTTGATCTTCGTAAAGACATACAGAAAGATTAAATAAACTTATAAATACAATAAGATATTGTAGTATCTGTACATCCGTTAAAAACCGGCTGACATTCCCTCTGAGAGACCACGCAAAGGAAGCCATGATGAAAAATCTCTATATATCAAAGTATCAGCTGGTGGTGTATTGCTTTCTCTTAACTTCTGCTAGGCCCTCAACTGCTTGGGCTGGTGATATGAAATAATTCTATATGGCTGTTTGACTATGTACAAATTTTCATTTAAAACAGATAAGACAGATGACGCAGCCATAAGTCCATGTACATACGGTGAAGACACTAACAATAAATGGACAAAATACTAATTCGTGCGCTAGAGTGCACGTCAATCGCGGTCATAATTATGCGAATTGTATAAAATAAATACAATTATCATTAATAGTGTAATTTCGTCCGCCATCTTTCTACTTTACGTACACATATTATACGTTGTATTCTATAATATATATACCATATTTATGAATATTAAATATGAAATAATGAAATTCTAATATATGAATAGGTGTTGGTTCTCTGGTAACTCTGAAGATAAATCTCCTTTTACGGGGGGAGGGAAGACCTGAGCAATCGATATTACTTCGTTGAATTTATTCTACAATCTGTATATATCATATATGAATATTTTTAAAAATTAAGTGTTTAAATTTCTACAAATACTGATCACGATAAATATTCTATCGAAATTGGCATAAAATTAATGGCTGCTAAAAATAAATCATAAAATGAAATGTTTATCTGAACTGTTGAATAATCAACATTAAAAAGAAAGGTAAAAGTTATATCATTGAACCATTTGTATCCAAACAAAATTATTATATTATATTATATATTCTTATGTTTTCTTCTGTTTTATTAGGATGATAATGATCGAATACATGATCTTGATTTGATCGAATATTGATTTTCTATTATTCTTACTTTAATGCGTATTAAATTGATTTTGACACTACAAAAATATATAAATAACAATGAAAATAAAGAATGACCAACTGTTAAACATGAAAAAACGGGTATTCCTCCGTTTTTACAGTTGTACCAACTCGTACGAATTTTAGTAACGAGAATTTTCTATATATTATTTTCGTATTTGCTTAATTAATTTGTTATAAATAATCTTTTAAAGTAAAACTCGTTAAATATGTAATAAAACTATATTAACGTATTTATTTCTAAATTATCTTCACCCCAAATACACTATACCAATAATTTTCAAGCGAAAATCTAGTAAATGTAACGGTGTAGTACGATTTTAAGTGACACTCACTGTATATTTATTTATAGTGCATTTATTGGTACAGTTCGAAAAATGAACAGAGTTGTAAGTTGTTTAAGTTGCACTATCGCGCTATTCGTTTACTGTAACATTAATAAAACTTTACGTTATTATTGAGAACATTTACTTATACACAGCTAAAAATACATAGCATTGAAGGACATCTCTTATCGATAGCTAAAGTGGATAATAGAATATGCCAGCGCTTTTACAGCGTTCTAAGAAGGAGAGGTAATGAATTCAGTCGTGATAGCTGTCTAGTAGCACATACACTCATTTATTATTTATATTATTATTTATTATTATTATATATTTAGATTGTACGTAGCTTATTATTTTTCTTGTAATTTTTTTTTCTTTTTTTTCTTCTTCTTTTCTATACTTTGTAGCAACAGCAAATATACTATCATTTGGTCACGGGGATAAATATGATCTCCAATCTACCGCAGATGTGTCATTGCGCCATGATACCGGATATATTAGCGCCAATGACTGAGCCCATTTGCATCTTTGGTAGGTTGTGATCAAGTAAAGAGGCTCGTCAATTATCCGGTAATGACAGTCTCCTGGATTAGTTGAGCGAATAAACTGAACAATGTGAAAAATAGTCAATTTCTTTTCGACGAAACGAAATCTATTTAAAGATCCTTATCGAAGACGATACGGCGCTAAAAGATTTTCTTTCAAAATCGACCAATCGAAGAGGTCTTGCTCTTATAAGCGCAAGAGTAGTGACACTCTTCACCTACGTTACTTTCTTCTTTGACCATTTTGCCTAATTTAAGTTGTCAAAGAAGTCCTCTTTCTCTCGCACACACATGCATAAACATGCTTACACACAACACACACACAAACTCTCACACTCACACTCGTTTTTCCCTCCTCGCACATAAAACATCGCGCCGTAGATTATATTTTTCTTTCTTAGGATTAATATCAGCATGACAACACACGTCGCACTGCATCCATTTGTTGCGTTGCATTAGATGCCACCACGACTAGTTCCATCTTATCTCCTACATTTATAGTATTATTTACAACTGTTTGGCACCGCATTTTTATCACTCCCAAAACCAACTCTCGTTCGCACATGACCGACCACCCCATCCGTCCGCACACATACACACACTTTCTCCCATACTTTTCTCTTGAAATAATCAGCAATGCTATCGAATAGAGTCGTTTGTGTCGGGAATTGCTACTCGATGTTTAAAAGGCGCGCTTTTCGTGCCATGTAGAAAGAGCGCAATTTCATCGGTATTATCATCTTCACTTTGTTCATCGCTATCTAATTTCTCTTATACACTCGTCGCTTTTTTTAAAAATGTACAATACGTATTCTCTCTCTCTCTCTCTCTCTTTCTCTCTATTTTTACTATAATAATGTGGAATGTTCGATCTGTACCGATGGTTCCAGCAAACATGGAATATTTTGGTTTGTCGGAGCCAAATTTAGAACGTTATCAAGCTACCTCCCTAATTTATTTCTTTCATTCTTTCTTTCTTTTTAATTATTTGTTTCATTTACTCGTTCGATTGATAATCCATGGCACTGCCCTTTTACACAAGTCGAAGCCGAATTGGCAAAATTGCTTTTTTGCCTTAGAGGGGCGCTACTTGAAAGTAACATTAACTTTTTTTCTCATTATGAATTATTTCTAGGAAATTTCTGACTGCAACTGGTTTATAAATTCCAGACTGCCCAGCAATCAGATTATATAACAGATATCACAACGTAAGATCGTAATACTAATACGATATATTATGTAAATATATTAATATTTTATATATATATTTATATATATAACATATTAATAACAACGGATCTCTCCTTCTCTCTCGGTCTCTTTTGCGTTTTATATCGCATTACTCGATTCATACCGTGATACTGCCAGATAATTGGTAAAATACCATACGAAACGTAATATATAATACATTACATTTGTGTGTCCAATCTAACAAGTTATATAAACATAAATGCAAATGAACATTGTAAGAGAGCAAGTAGCTTATGATTTTTATCTCAATACTGTTTTGAAAAGTTCGTGAGGTAACATTATCGTGTGTGTTACGTTCTATTATAAGTTAACTAAAAAAATATCGATCGACAAGCTACATACACTGCTATGATTATTAACATTTAGAAATGAGATCTAGTTTCATCCTAGCAACATGTGAACGTACATCCAAGATATCACTGATCTTATTTTCAATGAATCTTATCGTGAGTTCTTATTTGAAAATCTTATCTACTTCACTTGCCAAAGTAACTGTTTGTGTTTGTAGAAAGTAAAGTTGCTCATATGTTCGTAACAGCACAATCGCTACGGTGACAATTTCGAGGCCGCTTACATACGTTATACGACGTACGTTATCATCGTATAATCGATTGATTTTCGTGTTACGTGCTCCTGCGCGACAAAGATATTGACCACCACCTTCGCACGGTAGGTTTTTTTCACTCAGAAGTTCTCAGAATCTGGATCGTTCGAGGGCGCAGCCTGTAGTGAGAGCTGCATGCTGGATTCTGTATTACGCCGCTTCATTTTACCCTTGGTCTTCTTCAGCATCGTTGCCTAGGAAGGGACAGGATCAGGGGAACGCACAAAGGAGTAATCGATAGAAAGTCAATGCCAATGACGAAGTGGAGAAATATATCAAAACGCAGGAGAAAAAGAGAAGAAAAACGTATGAAAAAGAAGATACGAAAATAATAAATAAGATAATCGATTAGAAGAAATAGAGAGAGAGAGAGAGAGAGAGATAGAGAGAGAGCGAAAGAGAGAAAACAAAAAAAAGAGAAAACAAAAAAAGAGAAAGAGAAAGAGAAAAAGAAAGATTATTCCATAAAAGCTAAGAAAAATGTCTAGCTAGTAAAAAAGATGCGTGACTAATCCATATATATATATATATATATATATATATATATATTACGAGAAGCATCCAGCTGCAATTGGGCCAAGGGTATCGACACGTTGGTGATATACGTATATACATCGAGGTAAACGCATGCGTTTCTTTCAGGAGTCGATCGGAATAATTCATACATAGGAGGCCTACATTTTGTAAGGGGGGGTGAGATCACACCGAAACTCCCCTAATCCATGTACAATGTTGCTTTGCACATAGAGGAGTCTAGGCGAGGATCGCACACCTCTCTCTTTCTCTGAACGAATGATTATTAATGACTGACTAGTGGCAAGCTGTAGTATGGTTGGTTTACTCGTCCGTGCTCTTGCCCCCCTCCCCATTAGCAGGTAGAATCGACGGTTCTGTATTCCGACGCTTGATCTTATTTTTCTTCAACATGGTAGCCTGAAGTGAACAAAGGAACAAGGAATAATTAGTAGAGTGCGATTAGGGGAGGAATGCATGTGCTGACGGACATCGGCAGTCAGGTAATGCCTCTTTATGAAGACTGCGCAGAGAGCGTTACGAGATATATGATTAAAAAAAAAAAATATCTATACTACTAACTAATACATACAGATGCTTCCGTTTTAAATCTTACGTGCCATATATACATACATATATGTATAATATGTATATGTATAGTGTATACATATAGAGGACCCCATTATTCTATTTAAAATCGAACAGGCTGAGTGAACGGTGCAACGAAAAAGAGAGGTTTGCATTCGTATAAGTCGGGGGGAGGGGAAAGAGATAGAACATGTATGTAGAATGTAATAACTCTCTCGATGGGAGACATTGAAAATATATATATGTATCTAAGGATTACCATTAAGGATATATACTTGCATTCTATGTTATGTTACACCCAATCTGTCCTTCATTTTGCTGGAATTATGGGGTTTCGGTAAAGTTTTTCTCAGGATTACCTTTAATGCAGATTTTAGAACTACTATTTCTCCTGGACTCTGGACCCACGGTTCGCCATCTACTTGTACCGGCATATCAGAGTTCAAACGTATTTTTATATGCCCACCCTACAATCAATCGGTTTATTTTGTAAATGCTGACAACATAAGAAATCTATACTGTAAGCCGGGATCTCTAATTAACTTAGCTCTCTCAAACAAATATTGACAGATAACTTATGTTTACATATTTCTCCGAATTTGACAGCAAATAGATAAATATACGTATCTATGTCTATTTTTTCTTTTTTTTTCTTTCATTATCTAAGGAAATCATGCTTGCGATTTGTTACCCTTTATTATTAATATCGTTTACCTGCGCTATCCTCATTGCTGCTCGGAGACCAGATTGAATCTGTCCTAGATGTATAACGCCTGTAACTCCTACAACTTCCAACATACCATCCCAATGGTTTGGTTTATTAAACTGATCTTCTTTATCTGGTCCCCAAGGGTTGGCACCGGAACCCCAACTGTTGTAAAGAAAGTTTAGTCGCAATATTTGAAATATAAACTAAGTTAGTTTAGTCGAATCTTTTGAAATTACCTTAAAATATTGAGAATGATTATTCCTTCTACTTGAGGCAATTCCACTAGTTTACCATCTACTTCTAATTTAATTTGATTGTGCAAGTCTTTACACGGCTTACGACCAACCATCTTACGTAAACCCATTTTCACGTATACACTTTTATTTCGAATCCTGCTATTGAACTTGTTGGGATTCTCTTCTCTCGCATTGTGAAAATCTAAGCATAGATCTGCATCGATTCCAAGCCCGAAATAATTATTCATTACAAATATTTGCGTATTGTCTTCGCTTGTTGAGCTTGGACCTACTTCAAGTATTCAAAGAATTTCTTATAATGTTTGGACAATAATTAATAAATAATTTACAAATAATTGGACAATATCGTTAATTAATATTATATATATTTTTAATCGATTACCTGCGGCACAACTAGCCATTTGGGACTTGTCATCCTTTTCTTCTGGATGAAAAACCACCGTCCATCTGTCCAATATAATTTCTTCTGCATCGATAACATCTCGTAGTAAATTTAACGGATCTTCATCACCCGTGTATCCAGATCCCCAACATAATACTCTAGCCAAATCATTTCCTGTTCCTAACGGTACAATAGCGCAGGCTGGTGAAGAACATTCGCTGTCTTGACCGACGTTGTCCAAACATTGTAAAACCCATCCTATCGTTCCATCTCCACCACAGACTAAAATTCTGTAGTGTTTGATAAGACGAAAAACGTAAAGCCTGGAAAATATATTATTGCATATATAAATAATTCGATTCACACAACCGCGTTATAATTGTAAGAAAAATATACGTTTCTTACTCACCCGGGAAGCGGACCACCGTTATCCAGATCAAACACTTGAAAAGGATTTAAAAGTTTACGAAAACTAGAAATCAACTGTAACCCTTGGCAACCGCCAGATTTCACGTTAACAAATACAAGTAACGGTTGAACACCAGCTGGTACCATACTTGGTTCAATACTCGGTAATAACATAACTAAAATGCAATTAAACGTATTTCGATTATTGTCAATCACAAATATCATATTACTGGGAAATAATTTTGTTCTTTCTTTTTCATAAAATTTGAGTAAAATTTATCTACCCAAAAGATTTTTGTCTTCGTATTTTGATTCACGCAAAGTATATAGTGCTTTAACAGCTTTATTCGAATCTTCGTATATAATAACCATCGAACCATATTCGTAATAGATCGGGCCAATGGACGAGAATTTGTTTTCTATAAAGTCAAATAATGAAGAAGGAAAAACGGGTTATTAAAAATTATAATTAAATATTCATTGACTTATAAATGCATAAATAATAAAAATTATATTTGCGTTACCTCTTCCTAAAAATTCGGTCAACATGTTTTCATAATTTCGTTCGGAAAGATTCGGTGGCAAATTGCCCACGAATAATGCCTGATTAGGTCCATGGGGATCTTGTCTTAACTGTAAATAAAATCGCATCAATTCCATTTGCCTGATGGAATCTTTACCTAGCTGTTTCACTATTTCCCATGGTTTTTCGTCCGGTGATAAAACACGGCCGGATACTGTAACGAACAAATCAAAAAGAAACCGTTAAATAAACGATAAAGATAAATGATACATTAATACATATGCGTATGTAATTAAGTTCATTTACGACGAACCGTACCATCACGATCCAAGAGAATTTGTCTACACGTGTAATCTTCGGAATTGATATTTTGCACATTAAACCTTTGAAGGGATTCCTGGATTAAATCTGAGACTGTCGTTGTTTCAGTTACAGGTACAATGCAGAAAGATTCTGATATTTGTAATTTTCCAGGATAGACTCGTACTTCTCCGGCATCGTTATCCCTTGAAAATAATTATTCATATAATTGTAAAAAAAAAGAAAGAAAAAAGAAAATATATATCAAATGTACTTACTTAAATCGCAAGAAGACTGCCAGACGCTTGGGTTCTTTACGATTCAAGTTTAGAATCGGTGTCGGATCGCACAGCTCACTTTCTTCCGCAGCGTATAGATCGGTTAAGTAAAAATTACCTGGATAAGAAGGAAGGAAATTGTTTTTCTTTTTATCTATCGATTATACATATTTATAAAATGATTATTATTATAATATAAAATCATTCTTACGCACCGGGATCTTTCGTGATATGAAATGCACGAAGCGCGGATGTTAAAATTTGTTCCGTGCTAGCTTGTCTAGATATCGTGATTACTCGATATATTTGGCGCTTCAAAGAGCTATTACCATCGTATACCTTAATCGACTCTAAATCATTAAAACGTATCATCAGATAGAAATGATAATTTCATTATTACTGAAATATATATTACAGTGAAAGACCGAAATTGGAGAATGTCAAGATTAACAATACATATCAAATACGTCAGTGAAAAATCGAATATTTGGATTTAAATCTTATATATTTATATTTTGGACATATACTACCATGCTGCTACCATGTGAATCTTAACATTATCCAATTTCGGTCTTTCACGGTAACATATATATATATATATATATATATATATATATATATATAAAATTGAGAATAAAAATTAGCGATAAGAGATGATGTAGTGTTGAAGAAAATACCTTCGTCGCCTCTTTCTTTATCTTCCTTATATCGTGGATCACGGCCATGCGGAGCTTGTCCGGATTCGTCGTTATCGCGAGACTTAGCATCGCCGCTGCTAAATTCCTCCGATATGCTTCTTGCTACAGACACAAAAATAACATATATTTTTTTTTTAGATAATGTTCCTTGCATCTTTGCTACACAAACCATCGACACATTAGATAAATATTGCAATACACATCTCCTTCAATGATAAATTCAATGTTAATAGGTCTCATATTCGATTACTCGATTACTCAGATAACATTAATGGTGTGACAAGAGAACAATTTAATATGATTAATATAATAATATTGCTGCAGAAAACAAGCAAACGCTTCTAAAGATATTGATTACTTTTTATTGATTCTCTATCTCGTAATAATAAAACGATAAAAGTATATACATTTAAAGGAAATCTTTTCTTTCTCTAAATAATTTCAAGAGAGTAAATAAGCAAGGCATTCAATTATATATATATATATATATATACGTATATCATTTTATATTGTTACTTTAAAGAATCGTTGAGAAGACAAAAATAATAAGAATTTCAGGAGATGCTTGTGTAAGTAAAAGAGAAAAATATAATAATTGATCTAGAAATATATACTCTATATCGCATTCTATTAAATCGTTTTATCATTCTTTAAAAAATTGACACACACCTCTTACCATCGAACATTTACGATGGGTTTGTAGAACACACATGATAGGAAGAATTATTCAGTAGCATTCTTGTACTTCATTTCACTGCATAGTAGAGAGTGATAAGCATCATGGATTTTTCACATAGCATCCAGCGGGCTGAGTGTGACAGTGCATGCACTGAAGCGAAACATATGTACATACATGCTAAAACGAAAACAATAACAAAATAACAACATTCATCAAAATCTGTATAGCACAACTTTCCAATTAATAAAATAGAGTTTTTTTTCTTAAGTGTACCTGCGTTTTTTTAGAAAAATATCTTTAGCTAAATATGTGTAAAACATTAAACACTATATTTATCATTATCAATAGTAATATTTCTATTTTTTTTTTATTAGTAACATTTCTTATTTTTTTTTTCTTTTTTTCTTATTTTTATCAATCTTTATCTTATTTTTAGATATAAATCATTCTTTTCGTTTTCATTATATTTCTATATTTGTAATAATTGCTTCTAACGACAAATAAATATATAGATGTATAAATGTATTATGTAAAATAATAAAAACATACACATACACACACACACACGCTCGCACACCAACGTGTTGATTAATTATTGTATATAGTTTTTTCAAATATTACCATTTTTATTTGTCCTGTTGCAAAATATGGTTCGGTCATATGTAAAAAATCGGTCAGTGGAACAAACAAAATGATATGCAAGAAGCGAGTTTGCCATATATCGTACAAAAGAAAAATATTATATATATAATATATAATATATTATTATATATATAATATAATATAATATAATATAATATAATATAATATAATATAATATAATATAATATAA